TGTGTATATGGTATTCATTTTAAAATGATGATACTTGACAGGTTTATTTAAGGATTCAAATTAAGAACCATTCTGTGTGACCCATCATTTTTGGGACGACGAAAAATGGGTGATACAAAGTCATCATTGGACTTTGAGCAACATTCAATAACACCCTTTTGTAATAAGGAGGATAATTCTTTATCGACAAATGTCTTCTTTTCTGGTGCAATATTAGACTTAGCAATCTTTGTTTGGGTAGGTTCTTTATCAAATTCAATAAGTGTACCTGACACCATTTCTAATATTTCTTGATCGTGGGTTATTTGAACCCATTCATTGAAACAATTGGAGATGCAGCCAGCTTTAAATAAATCTTGTTTACATTTAAATGAATCAAGCAAGTCTAGCAACAAAGAATTAAAGTTTCTTTCATTCACTTCTTCCATGACTTCTGGTCCAATTTTCCTTCTGATATTGGCTTGCTTCACGTGTAAAACAACTTGAAATCACTATCACGCTTGCAACACAACACTATTGTAACCTTTTTAAAGACTCTATTCTCTCTCTTTCTCCTGTGACTAAATAAATTCAGTTGTCACAGGCCAGTAGTACGAGGAATTCATTGGGTAACAATATCGATCGAACGTTTCCTCTGACAAAAAACACAGTTTGTGTCTATGATAATTTGCACGCACTAAATTTAAAAAAGTGCAAAGGAAGCCCAATAAAGAGGGAAGTTGCAAGAGCGTTTGCTGCAGCCATGGTATGCAAGACAGACCCGACTGAATTGCAAGTACGTCAAGCCACTTTAAGACCTGCGTTGGTTAAGGCCTTCAACGAAAGATCAATATGAAGCTTCATAAATGCAATAACGGTTCATATAAAAAAGGCAGACAATTTGGTGCTTTCTGCATGGAAATGCAAAGTCTGTCATTGCACATAACTGATGACGGTCTTCTCATGATACAATGCGAAAAGTGTCTAAAATGGTGCCACGGAAGATGCGAAATGGAAACTTCACCGATGATTGTTGGCACTGCAGGAATTTTCGAAGCATTGACGCACTGAAAAACAAGCGCAAGGAACAATTGGCAGCAATCCAGAATTTCGATAATGAGCACAGAATGACCGATGAAATCTGTGCACTGTATAACAGCATAAAGAAACGTGTTCCTGGGTATAGCTTACCAGAAGCATAGCGGTGAATTCTAGCTATGCAATCTGTGGATTATCGTATCATTTTTCGCAACACGAAGAAAAAATTGAAAACAATATCGGCATAACAAGCTACTGGTCGTCATTGAAAGACTTTGCAATTGTACTATTTCCGGAAGAGCATAACAGCCCAGTGGGGGGGGGGGGTACTCCCATTAAGGTTATTTTTAAAAAGTACTACCACTCGAGGGTAACTTTTTAAAATTTTAGCTTTAGCCCTCTTTGGCCCTGGCTGGACCCCCTGTTAAGCCATAATGGGAGTAGCCCCGTCAGGCATAACAGTAAGGCAGAAGTGCTGGGAACTCTGATTCATGAAATGACGCATGCTGTCCAATTAGTCCAGAGAATACAAGGCCATGATTACGGGTACCAGGACCAGAAGATTTAGACTTTAAGAGCAAAAAATTAAGAAAGCAAAATCTTGAGTTCCAGCTTAGTATCATCAAACTGTTTCGCTATGATCGTCGCCAATCACCACTGTACGAGATTACATTTTTCTCATAATTTGACCCTGCAATGAAAAGCCCGTATATGTAAAATTCAAGACAGCGACGTTACTACCAAATTTTCCTTCTGATTTTGCCCTGAAGAGGCTTGTAATTCGATACTACGACTTCTTTCTCTTGTCTCTTTTTTTCTTCCTCACTCCTGCGCCAATACGCCTTCTTTGCAACCTGTTCAAGCATTCCTTGGCAGTCCACTGTTAGTTACCAAGCATCTGTAAGCAACCCACTGACTCATTTAACCTCGCGGAGGTTTAAAATAATACACAAATATTATGGGCAATTTTAACGAACAGATTTTAAAGAATAATGTTTCAACTTTACAAAGACACTTTGCCTTGTATTTTCAATAGAATTGCTCTTCGGTTGATATTCTTATGCTCATTTTTTATGTTAAAACATGTTCCTCAAATTTTACAATACCTTTAGCGTCTTCGTGTTGCGGTCTTTTCGAATGCAAAACAGATAAAAGTATGGCACATAATGATAAAGACAAGCTTATGGCTATTTTCTTAAATCTCCATTGGGCCTAAAGCTACGTATGTTGTAGATATTTCGAGTGCAGTTTCCGGTCATTCCTATAAAGTTAAACTTTCAAAATTTTTCTTGCTGCGAACCATGGTGGTCGCTTTCACTAAAACCTGAAAGATTAGAGTTTTTTGGCGTAATGCTAAAAAGATTTTATGAGCACTTTCATGGATCTTCCTGGTCTCTAAATCTGTGTTGTAAATATTTTAGATAAAGTTTTAAAGTTTTAAGAACGCAATATTTGTAAATTTTTTCCTGCTGCTAAACATGGTGGCGCCCTTAATCAAACCCATGTACGATCTGAACATTATGACATAATGATAAAAGAAAGTTTTTGAATACTGCCTAGGATCTTTTTTCAATCTCAATCGATGTTGAAATCAGTCCTAAAATGTTATACTGTCAAACTTTTTCTCCCCGCCAACCATGGCGGCGGCAGTAATGAAACCCCTGAACTATGACCACATTGTGCCCCTCCTTTTTCAATCACATTTCCTCGGTCCTGATAGAAAGGGCTTAACTTTAGGGGGCGCCAAAAACGATTGCTGCCACCTAGCAAATTTTGAGCCACCACGCCACTGGCTACTACTCAGGGGCGTCGCCAATGGGGTGTGAGAATGCTGTACCCCCTAACAATTTTTCTGTCCGCAAGAAAAAGATTTTGACTCTGAAAAAAAATCTTTCTCATCCTGTAGTATAATTTTAGCCTTTTTGCAACAATTGTAACAAAGTAACATTTAAACAATCTTTTGGTGGTACAAAATTTGTAAATGGCTTTGAAAAAAGCAAACATTTAGTAAACTAAAGCTTTTCGTATCTACATAAGCACGAAAAAACCGCTACTGTGTAGACAAAAGGAGTTCGTTTTCACTTTAGGACTCCATTGGTAACTTTCTCAATAGGCAAGCGGCACTGATTGGTCAACCTATACAGTCATGTGCTCGTGTTTCTGATTGGCCTATTTCGATCCACAACTGGGTATATATATATATATATATCTTGACGTTTTAAACTCTGAAGAGTGTCAGACGAAAAGCTTTGGTTTACTAAATGTTTGCTTTTTCAAAGTAACATTTCTGTACCAGTTGAACTTTCGAAGTTTGGCACTAAAGTTTGAATTTTGAAATAGAAACGCATAATAGCACCATATAAGATTATTTATTTTGTGAACACACCCTTAAAGAATGAGACACGCATTTTTGCTGTACACTTCCAGAAAAATATTTGGCTTCGCCCCTGCTACCAATAGGCCCAAACAGTATTCCAATATCTGCAGCCAATCAATGTCTGATGGCATTACTTCCAGTTGTGACGCCAGAGGGGAGCAGGGGGGCTACGACCAACCCGTCGGAAGATATACGAAGAAAATTTATAATTTTATCAGAGCAAGATTTTGCAACCGTTTGTAAAAATTTTGCGAAATAGAAGAAGTAACTGATTACAAAAATCCCATTGAGTGAAAAATTTACAACCAGGCATTTCCCAAGTAATTTACACAGCACTCAACCTCTTTATTGACATACCAAACGACAATCGGCTAACAATATAGGTAAAATTCTTAAGACCATTGGGACATAATTTGAAAGATAAAGAGTAAGAACAAGTATGGAAACAGCCCCCTGTACTAGCATTAAAAAGACAAAAACACTTTAGATCTAATAACCCACACTTGGGGACACATGGGTGTTCTCAACTTGGCCAATGAAGGGATCATTGAACTCAACAGATTCGGAACTTTTCGTGGCATTAATTAAAAATTAATGGTTGTCGATAGTATATTTAATTGCTTTTATTTTCATTTCTATTTGATCCTCTTCGCTCCTCGGCACGTTAACATTTTAACTTTTAAATGGCAAATTGTAACCAAGAGAAACAAACTCCGATGAGAAAATCGATTAAAACAGTCCAACAGCGTCCCGCCTGTGGATATTATTTTTAAAAGCAAGGTATTGTAAAGGTAGAAGAAAATGATCCAACGAGTCCATTTTTTAGTGGACTGGAATCATCAAAATTTGATGATTTCCTCGCCTTTTGCGGCAACCATAGTTCGTGTACTTGTTTATTGCGACACGAGCAATAATTTTCAAGCTAGCAAAGACTTAACCTACCAAAGTAAAAATGGTTCCTTTTCTGTTAAATGATTAAATGACGTTTTTTTTTACTCAGAAAAGTTTAGAACGTTAAGAGTATGGAAAAATTACGGGAAAAGGTCTAGAAAGAACTTTCTTTATTTGTCTTATTTTGTTAGAAAAGCGAGTCAGCCCCCCCCCCCCCAAAGAAAATATAAATCCCGCTCTTAGTAGCTGCTCTTTCTTGTTTGTTTAATTCATGTCCTGTTATAATCTTAATGTTTGTGCGTCTTTTTACGACTGGGGCTCCATGTTTTTTCTCCGATTGCTTTGCTATTGAGAGAGTTCCTCCTTAAGAATTCCCCTTCATACAAATCCTCTAGTGTCGTGTATCTTTCTTTAATTTTGTGTGTATTGTCTTATGTAGTTAATCAACTTGTAGTAAAGTATGTTTAATTTTAGAGTCTTTGTATGTAGGTGAATTTAAAATGAAATGAACTGAACTGAACTGGATTGCCTAGCCCCCCTGTCGGGGAATTTCTAGCGCCACCACTGATTACTTCTCAATTGAAATGTCATTATATGGGGGCTCGTCTAGTTCAAAAGTACATTGATTAAATAAAGTGAAAGTTTACTTCATTGATGCATCGTGAATTTATTAAGATTTTAAAGCAAGAAGATAATAATAAATATTTCTCTCTAGGACATTTTTGGCCTCGTTTGGATTTCCCCTCATGGCAACAAAGCGACAGCGACAGCAACAATCAGCACAAGTGCAGAGGCGTAACCGTAATCACTATTCTGTGCCGAAGCGCTAGGCTGTTGTAAGGATTTTACTTCGTGTCCAATTTAAGAAAATAAAATGGTTCGCTACGCCAAGTCCTGCGGCTGCTTCGCACTTCGCTATGGTGTCATCTTGATCGCAGCAATCGACATCGTAAGTAGGCTTATTTACGCTAATTGGCTCCATACCTGCCATCTTTATGTGTTCCCTACCGATTTATTTAAAAAGGTGCTGTTTACCATCTACAGCAGTCGTTTTAAAATGCTAAAGGTTAATTTCAAAGCTGAAAACTAGGCCTACATCACACCATTAAGCTTTTGTCGGGAAAAGGAAAAAACATTGCGAAACTGGCTTTGCTTGATTTTTCTTTTCAATTCTTTCAAATTTTTTCCGTGTCTAGCTCGAATAAGTGAAAGTAATGCTGAAATCGTCAGCTGCTTCAGTGGTCAACGGATATCTGTCTTTCATTCTTGATAGTCAAGCAAAACACGTCAAATTAACTTCTAACAATTCCGGAAGTAATCGGCTAATAAAATTGTGGGAACAGGCGATAATTACAGACCCAGAAAAAGATCCATAAAGACTTTGCAAAAATACAAAGAAGTTGATTCCTGATAGGGATGTGCTATCTTATTATGTTTTATTGAAAAGACACTGAAACGTATCTCTGTAATATTTATAAAGTGGGTTTGGTCTCAAGAAATTTCTTAGGGTTTACCCAGGGTGCATTCCATGTCAACTGTACGGCGAAGGTCCACCGGGGCATTTTTTTAGGTACGCCGAAAATATAAAAGCAGTTAGTAAAACTGTAAACATTATTGTGCCAGACAAAGAAAACTGATTATTAGAGAAAAATGTGGTGTACGAGTCTTTATTTTGTGTTAACTATGTACATGGCCTCATGTTTAGCATGTCAACTAACTAAAATTTTAAGTAGGCCAAAAATTATTGCCAGTATTGCCCTCATCCTACTGTCCACTGTCATTACAACTTATCATACTCCCTATTAAGATTAGCAATTTTGCATTTTGTATGGTGGAGTCCCTATATCTAAATTTGATTTGTGGAGCTTTGGTTCACAGCTACATATTTTTAAGAACAATGTTTACATTTACAGGAGTAGCAGCTAAGAACCATATTCTACTCCAAAAAGTGTGTTCAGAAATATGAATATATAATATCTTAATATTGCACGGTTGGTAAATCTGGCTCCCTAAGCTTCTATCTTTCTTTACAAAGAACTCCTATCATCTTATTTCAGGTTCTTTATAATCAGCAAGTCTCTAAGACTTGCACTCAGTTTACCAAGGTTCTGCTCTATGAAAGTCTTATGCACATTCCTCATTAAAGAATCTATATTTTTAGTCTTAGGATTTCTGTTTTTAACCAGGAAACTTGGCATTGGGATTTATAGAACTCTCTTAAAATATACATGAAAAATGAAAACCAGTCCCCATGCCTCAAATGCAGAAGCCTGTAGTTCTTTTGACCAATAATTCTTGCAGATACTTGGTGTCTATGCCATCACAACTACTGCGGTTGACATGATAAACGAACATGACAAGTTTCAACATCATGCCAACAAAACAGATCTTCATGATAAGAAAAAGGCAGAAGAAAGTCATTCAAAGCATGAAAGCTTTCAGGCCTCAAGTATTGTAAACATAGTTCTACAAGTTTTGAATATAGCAATGGCCATCTCTCTGATTGTTGTTGCTTCCATAAACAAAACAAAGTACCGAAAAGTATTGTTGATTTGGGTTGGATGGAATTTCGGGGCAGTCATTATGTTGGTCATCACAACAATTGTAAGGTCAGTTACTGCTTACGTTTCTTGGATTGAAATCTGTATCCTACTGCTCATTGCCTGGTACCTGGTATTCTGCATTTGGCTGGTTATGTCATATTACAAACTACTGGCAGTCAACACAAATGAAGCTCCTGCTGGATATGATGAATTTTCAAACGAGAAAGATGATGAAATGTTTGGTGTTTAGAAGGAAGGAGTATTGAAAAACAGTTTTATGATTGTTAATTGTACTTTCAAGACAATCCCCTTTTAGCAATCTTTGCAACTAAATTGTATATCGCATTATATTTATCCTATTTTAATGATAACTGATTTTGGTTACAGATACATCATGTTATAGCTTTTTATGTTATAAAGAGTTTTCTTTATGTCTTGTTTCATTCAGGTTGTGAGGTGTGTTATTAGTAGCTATGATTTACTTATCATGCTGAAATAAAACTCTGCACCTAAATATATGTATATAAGTAGCAGAAAAGCTAACCAGTAGCCTTCAATCTTTGGAGCTGAATGTAATAGCTTGTGTTGAGTATGTGTAGAGGCGAAGAAAAGTTTGATTTTAAATATTTTACGATTTTTATGATATAGTCATTTGAATCAGTATAATTAATTGAATCAGTAAAAACATACAAATTCTCAAAACATTGGAGATATACATATACATTCATATATCTATGCAAGCTACCAATTTGTGTAAATAGATATTTAAAAACGCTTATACACCCATATGAACACATATTTAAATGGTATTGACATTATGCTATCTCTGTTTTGTAGATTACTTCAGTCTATTAGTTTTAAAATGTTGCTTAATGTCATTTACAGTTTTAATGAATGCTGTTCTGAAATATATTTTGTCTTTTATCTCACTTTCCTTGTTATAAGTTAGTATGATTTGTAAAATATCCATGAATGCACATTATTATGATAAACTATTTTCAAATTAGATTTTGATGCAAGTATGAAAAAAGCGATTGCTTGAGCACTGTGTTTCAAAAAATAACAATTGTTTGTGTTTATAATGTATACCAAATTTATTCCCTCCTCTTATTTTATTACACATTTTCTGAAGCAATCCATTGCTGTCAATTTTTTTCCATTAATCACATCCAAGGGTGTTGCCAAAGGAAGGGTGTGGGGTGTGATGCTTAGCAGAACAAAAGAAGCAATTTTTGTTCTATGCCTGACACCTGTTTGAAACAATTGCAAGGTATTAACATTTTTGTAGTAGTTGAACTGAAGTATGGCACTAAAGTATGATCTTTGAAACAAAAACGCCTAAAGGCGGCATATAAGACCCTGTTTACACGAGACCTGGACCAGACTGGATCCAAAAGTATCCGGATACTTCTAGGTTTGATCCCAGGCGTTTTCATGGTATCCAATCCAAACATAATTCTTATCGTACATTATTATAAGACTTTTGGAATCATCTTATCGTACCAATTTGCCAACATAGTAGTAGGTCAGCTTCGTGTTTTGTTTTTTCGACCTTCTCCGCAACCTGATAAATTCCCTTGACATCGCACTGGCTGCAATAGCATCCAGCATCCTGTCCCAGTCTACCAATGCTTATCAAGCGTCCATAACTTACCCAATGATTTGGTTGACCTTATAGAGGTTTGATGAGAGTCATTGCTACAAATGAAAACAATTGCAATCAGATTTTTAAAAAAGTACCTCAACTTTATAAAGCTACTTAGCCTTTCATTTTTAGAAGTATAGTTTTCAGTTGATATGATTATGTTCGTGCTTTAGTGTTGAACGTGTTCAGAAAATTTCGCAAGACCTTTACCCTTCACAACAGATAAATCTTTGTGAAGTAGTGAAAAAAATGGACCTTCAATTATTTTCTAGCATCTTCATTGGGCCTAAATGTAACTAGCATGTTATAGATATTCTGGATGCGGATTCAAGCCATATACTTTCAAAATTGCTCGTCCCGCGTACCGTTGTTCTGCGTCGATATTCTGTGACAGTTTTTCATTAAGTTGTTTTTAATTCCTGCTCAGTCTTTCCTGGCCCGACCCCCTCTTCCATGGTACGAAATGTTGTAAATTTTAGCCCCCAGGTTAAAAAGATTTACATCAGCGACATACAAAGTTCTGCTAGTGAATTTGATTTCCACCTCTTTCCTTTGATGATATGATACCAATACTTTATACCTTGATTTCGTTAAAGACTCATTGCTAACAATGAGCCATTGCGCTACGTAAGCATCCCATAATGCATTTTTAGACTGTCTAAAATCAATTTTGGGAAATCCGTAGAAAATTACTGCCATTGTTTGGACGGTGGCCACACTCGCAAAGGCCCATTGTTAGCAATGAGTCTTTAAGAAAACCGTCAACTTTCAGCCAGCAAAAAATCTGACTGGTTAGTAGCTAACAAAGCTATCATTGATTGTTTCGAAATCTAACTTCCTTCTGGTCAGCTAAAATAAATCAACTAAAACAATAATTCTAAGCATAGTTAATGAATCACTCAAACAAAAAGGTTATACAAAATATCTTTGGATTATATCAACTAAAAAAATAGAGGAAAGCGAAATTAGAAGCACCATGTAACACAAATAAACACCAAAAGGAATTGGCATTCTTTATACTTTCTTTAAGACAGTTCATCCTAAAAAGTAACCAAAAAACTCTATAACTCATTTATTCAATCACATGCCCCTGTGGTATATTAAATTGTAAATGTGCAAACAAATCAGCGTTAGTACCACAAGGCAACTTACGAAAAGCTGTTAAAGTAGCTGAAATTTTTTCATACGCTGCCTAAGTGCACATAGTGATCCAGTCTTTCAACGTTTAAAACTCTTGAACTTTTAATACCTCTTTTAAAATATATGTTTCAAAAAGACACTAGTTACAATATCTTAGGACAAGAGTTTCTACAAAATTTAAGAGAAATGCTCTTCCATTTGATTGTTTGAAACTTTTTAACCATCTGGCGCTAAATTTGAAAAACAAAAAAGTCAATATCTTTCAAAAGTGAAATGAAACATTACTTTTAAGAGAACCCTAAATCCTTCGTATTCTTAAAGTACTAACCTAACTGAACTTCATGCAAACAATCGTACGTACTTCTTTTCGTTTCATCTTATCTCATTTTACTGTATTTTCAGTAACTTTAACACTTAAAAGCTAGTTTTTACTTTATGTTGATTCTTGCTAATTTCAATCTTTGATAATTCTTATTGTTAATAATCAAACCAAGGCAACGGGGCCCATGGATTTGATAGCTCTGTCTTGAGTTGGGGCTACGCTTCGAGATTAGGTGTACACTTGAAAAATAAACTAATTTTGCAAAATTTATAGTTGTTTATCGCAACTTTCATTTTTTGCTGCACTTAATATATACATTAAGTAACGTAACTTATAATTAGCTTTACATGTTGAGCGAAAATTGTCCGTGATGTAGATCTTAGTTTTTAAAACAAGATATTACTTTGTGATGTGAGGAGGACGGGGTGAAGCTATAAAATGAATGTCGTTTAATTGAGATGGAAAACGTTTTTTAAAGACAATGTCGAAAAGTACATCAATGTACATGTGTCTCAAAATATTTGTTTTAGAATTTCTCGCCGGACGCTTCGACGCACCGAATTTTAAAATCAAAACGAGGTTAATTGCTTCAACGCAAAAGAGATCCACAATATGGCGGGGGAAGTTTATTGTACGACACACTGTTGTTTAGGTTATGTCATATTGGTTTAAACAGAGGAGCTTTTAGAGTCAATCAATAAATGTTTCGAGGATTTTAAAGAATTTCTTTTTCGACCGGTGTTCACAACCATGCTTTCGGAAATTGCCCGCTCGATATTTGAACCTGGAGTTAACAAGGCAACAAAATATTTCACTTACGGGATTTTCGTCACTTTGATTTTGTTGCTGCTTGCACTTCTTTTGGCTGTTGGATTCAATATTCACCTGTTCCTGTTATTCGTTTTGTCATTGTGTCTTCTTGTGGCAATTGTTTGGTAGGTTTAGTCCTTAGTTTTACGAATTTATTGCATTTAAATGCTGAGAGGCGGTGATGGCAATCATGTTGGTAGCGCTCGGGGTCAAATACGGAACGGGGTCAAATAGGGAAATCTGGGTCATATTTGACTGATATCTAAAAACAAACCTCAGAATCGGATTCAGCATGCCTCAATCTACCTTTTAGATGCTTATTTAATTTAGCCCCATTTAAGTTCTGGGCTGCTGCCAAATCCGTATTTGTGTATGGTGGTTGTAGTGATCGCTGAAAAAAATTTTATAATCCTAATTTAACTTCTTAGACATCTTAAAACAAAACGGATTTGTACAATAATAGTCACAGGTCATATTAAGTAGAGGCTTGTTGGAAAACTTACACTCTATTGCATTTGCATCAAGCGTTAAGCCTTAACTGTTAGGAATCAAAAGTTGCTGCTCAAAATTATTCTTGGTTGCACCTGAATATATTTTTGCTGATTTTAGGTAGAAGAAATAGCAAGTTTTGATCAAAGTCACAACTCACACCACAGATAGCAAACTGCATGCATACCAGACTGGAAACTTTGTTGTGTGCCTGCGATATATTGCCTGCATGCTCAAATTTTCCATCCGCCCACTTTTACATATTGGCCGTGCAAAGTCCCTATTAGAATACATTTCACATTCTTAACAATACAAATTTCTCAAAAGTGTGATTTCAGGTGCGCAGTCAGACACGTGAGCTGGCCTGCGCAAGAAACAAAGTTTCCAGTCTGGCTTGTATATAGGCATTTCCCAAACAGTGGCACCACCACTTTGGGAGAGGGGCTGAATTAGGGTTCAATTATTTGACCAAGAAAACTGTTTTAGGTGCAAATTGGCCTTATAAGCTATGAACAAAGCCTTATTCCCTCCTCCTAAATGAAATTGGTGGCGAAGACTGGTTTCCACTTGATTCTCTTTGGTGGCGAAACTTAGTAAATGGACATTGAAGCATGTGCAAATTGAACTTCCTTATTTGCTGAGAATGCACAACCATTCACCAAATAGTTAAACTACTGAACGACTGATTGCATCCACCAATTTGCTGATTTGTTGATTCCCTCTCACCAAACTCTCGCAGCCAGAATGTATCAAGTGGAAACCCACCTTTACTCTACAGCAGAACCAAACAACTTCCAGATAGCTCTAAAGTATATTATGCCAAATTTGCTCAACATCAGCTTTTAGATAAGCAGGTCCCTGGATCTAATGAAGCAAATTAATGGTTAAATACATAAAAACTGAAATTGCCAAGCACAAACCAGCTTGGTCTAAAGTGCTGACAAGATTGTTTCAGATTTTTTAGATTTTTTAATGTTTTTTAAAAGAAAAAATATAAATTTGTTAAGCTAGAGAACATATTTGATTAACCCTTAACAGTCCACATACTCATCAAGCCTATCCTCTATCCTCAATCCATTATTTCTTTTGGTTGCTGTTATCATTGATATTGCTCTTCACTTCCAAATGCCTAAGACTCCATGTCCAAATGCCTAAGACATAAACAGATATGATCTGGATAAAGCTAGGGGCTTTTTTACAAATAGAAAACTACCAGCTTTCATGATCAAAGATTTGTTGTCAGTCATGTGAATAGAATTGCCTATATATTTTCAATATTTTTTCCATAGGTTTGTTGAAGAGGTTCAAAGACTAAATCCTGAGAAAGAGGTTATAGATAAGAAAGAGAGTTGAAGAGAACTGAAAAAATACTGAGGTATGTTGTAACCTGTCACAATTACAATTACAAGAAAACATCTACAGGTTGCATTTCTATGACCTAGTCCCATGGTTGACTATTGTTTTCATGTGAAGACAAACCATGTAGGCAGATGTCAAATAAAATTGAGTAATTTGTATTTAAAATCATTGGTGGGGCAAGGAACAAGTTATCAGCTTGTCGTGAAATTATAAAATCCTTCATTATATTTTGCTTTTCTTTGTCGTGAAGAACACCTTTAAACTACCTCTATATTCTTAAGAAACAATCTAATGGTATTTACTAGAACTGATATCAAAATTATAGAGATTTTAAACTACATTATGCTTTGAAATGATTAGTTTTGACAGAAGATTAATTGATAGAAGATATTAAATATCTATCACCTTCCTCTTTCTAAAAAATAATTGTCATACTCAGTAATCATATGACTATCTTGTAACTTGTAAAACAAAATTCAAGCACATAGCAATATAGTGACATACAATTATATCAATTTCAAGGGAGTAATTTGCATAAGAATGATAATTATAGGATGATGATATCAGAATAAAGTTTTTAAAAAGGTTTCTGATTTTTCTTAGTAAAACATTTGGTTTGCTATATCTATGACAAAAAAGCAAACCACCTACGCCACATTTTTGTGTTAAGTCGCATTTCAGTCAAGACCTGATTCAAACATTTTTCCACATCATATAGAAAGTTGAAAAGCACATTTTACATAAAAGTATTTTCCGTCAAAAATCTCTAATTTTGACAAGCTTATAGCCTTACTGTTTTGGAAAAATTGCCAACTAGTAGACCCCATTTTTGCCCTAAATCATACTCCATACAGTCAAGACTTGATTCAAACCTTTTTTTGCATCAAATGTAATGTTGAAAAGAACATTTTGCACAAAAGTATTTTCTGTCAAAATCTCTAATTTTGGCTAGCCTTACTTTTTTAATGAATAATTACCAACTTGTCAGCTCACATTCTTTTAAGTTGAATCACATTCTATTGGGTCAAGACTTCATCCAAACCTCTTTTCTCATCAAATAAAATGTAGCAAAGCAGATTTGAGACAATATTATTTTTAGTCAAAAATCAGTAATTTTAGCCTTTCTATAACCCTACTTTTTTCATAAATAATCATCAACTTGTTTGCACACAATTTTTCTGTTAAATTCCATTCCATTAGGTCAAGACCTTGTTTGGCACTTCATCCAAACTTTTTCTCAATTCAAGTAACATGTAGAACTGCAGATTTTAGATAAAATTATTTTTGGTGAAAAATCAGTATTTTTGGCAAGCCTATAGCCTTACTTTTTCACAAAAAACGACAACTTGTTAGGCCCAATTTATTGTGTTAAACCACATTCTAATAGGGGAAGATTTGATTCAAAACTTTTCTCCCATCAAATAGAATGTAGAAAAGCAGACTTTAGACAAAATTATTTTTGGTCAAAAATAAGTAATTTCGGCAAGCCTATAGCCTTACTTTTTCACAAAAAATCGACATTTTGTTAGCCCCAAATGTTTGTGTTAAACCACATTCTATTAGGTGAAGACTTGATTCAAAACTTTGTTCGCATCAAATAGAATGTAGAAAAGCAGATTTTAGACAAAATTATTTTTGGTCAAAAATCAGTAATTTTAGCAAGCCTATAGCCTTAACTTTTTCACAAAAAAATCGACAACTTGTTAGGCCCAATTTTTCTGTAAAATCGCATTCTATTAGGTGAAAACTTTATTCAAAACTTTCTCCAGATCAAATAGAATGTACAAAAACAGATTTTAGAAAAAATTATTTTTCATCAAAAATCAGTAATTTTGGCAAGCCTATAGCCTTACTTTTTCACAAAAAATCGACAACTTGTTAGGCCCAATTTTTTCTGTTAAACCACATTCTATTAGGTAAAGACTTTATTCAAAACTTTGTTCGCATCAAATAGAATGTAGAAAAGCAGATTTTAGACAAAATTATTTTCGGTCAAAAATCAGTAATTTTGGCAAGCCTATAGCCTTACTTTTTCACAAAAAATCAACAACTTCTTAGGCCCAATTTTTGTGTTAAATCGCATTCTATTAGGTCAAGTCTTTATTCAAAACTTTCTTCCCATCAAATAGAATGTAGAAAAGCAGATTTTAGACAAAATTACTTTCGGTCGAAAATAAGTAATTTTGACAAGCCTATAGCCTTACTTTTTCACAAAAAATCAACAACTTGTTAGGCCCAATTTTTGTGTTAAATCGCATTCTTTTAGGTCAAGACTTTATTCAAAACTGCATCAAATGGAATGTAGAAAAGCAGCTTTTAGACAAAATTATTTTTGGTCAAAAATAAGTAATTTCGGCAAGCCTATAGCCTTACTTTTTCACAAAAAATCGACAACTTGTTAGGCCCAATTTTTCTGTTAAATCGCATTCTATTAGGTGAAGACTTTATTCAAAACTTTCTTCGCATCAAATAGAATGTAGAAAAACAGATTTTAGACAAAATTATTTTTGGTCAAAAATCAGGAATTTTGGCAAGCCTATAGCCTTAACTTTTTCACAAAAAATCGACAACTTGTTAGGCCCAATTTTTGTGTTAAATCGAATTCCGATAGGTCAAGACTTTTTTCAAAACTTTCTTCGCATCAAATAGAATGTAGAAAAGCAGATTTTAGACAAAATTATTTTTGGTCAAAAATCAGTAATTTTTGCAAGCCTATAGCCTTACTTTTTTACAAAAAATCGACAACTTCTTAGGCCCAATTTTTGTGTTGAACCACATTCTATTAGGTGAAGACTTTATTCAAAACTTTCTCCAGATCAAATAGAATGTGAAAAAAAAGATTTTAGAAAAAATTATTTTTGGTCAAAAATAAGTAATTTTGGCAAGCCTATAGCCTTAATTTTTTTACAAAAAATCGACAACTTGTTAGGCCCAATTTTTCTGTAAAATCGCATTCTATTAGGTGAAAACTTTATTCAAAACTTTCTCCAGATCAAATAGAATGTACAAAAACAGATTTTAGACAAAATTATTTTCGGTCAAAAATCAGTAATTTTGGCAAGCCTATAGCCTTACTTTTTCACAAAAAATCGACAACTTCTTAGGCCCAATTTTTTGTGTTGAACCACATTCTATTAGGTGAAGACTTTATTCAAAACTTTCTTCGCATCAAATAAAATGTAGAAAAACAGATTTTAGACGAAATTATTTTTGGTCAAAAATAAGTAATTTTGGCAAGCCTATAGCCTTAACTTTTTCACAAAAAATCGACAACTTGTTAGGTCAAATTTTTCTGTTAATTCGCATTCTATTAGGTGAAGACTTTTTTCAAAACTTTCTTCGCATCAAATAAAATGTAGAAAAGCAGATTTTAGACAAAATTATTTTTGGTCAAAAATAAGTAATTTTGGCAAGCCTATAGCCTTAATTTTTTTACAAAAAATCGACAACTTGTTAGGCCTAATTTTTCTGTTAATTCGCATTCTATTAGGTGAAGACTTTTTTCAAAACTTTCTTCGCATCAAATAGAATGTAGAAAAGCAGATTTTAGACAAAATTATTTTTGGTCAAAAATCAGTAATTTTTGCAAGCCTATAGCCTTACTTTTTTACAAAAAATCGACAACTTCTTAGGCCCAATTTTTGTGTTAAATCGCATTCTATTATGTCAAGACTTTATTCAAAACTTTCTTCGCATCGAATAGAATGTAGAAAAGCAGATTTTAGACAAAATTATTTTTGGTCAAAAATCAGTAATTTTGGCAAGCCTATAGCCTTACTTTTTCACAAAAAATCGACAACTTCTTAGGCCCAATTTTTTGTGTTGAACCACATTCTATTAGGTGAAGACTTTATTCAAAACTTTCTTCGCATCAAATAAAATGTAGAAAAACAGATTTTAGACGAAATTATTTTTGGTCAAAAGTAAGTAATTTTGGCAAGCCTATAGCCTTAACTTTTTCACAAAAAATCGACAACTTGTTAGGTCAAATTTTTCTGTTAATTCGCATTCTATTAGGTGAAGACTTTTTTCAAAACTTTCTTCGCATCAAATAAAATGTAGAAAAGCAGATTTTAGACAAAATTATTTTTGGTCAAAAATAAGTAATTTTGGCAAGCCTATAGCCTTAATTTTTTTACAAAAAATCGACAACTTGTTAGGCCTAATTTTTCTGTTAATTCGCATTCTATTAGGTGAAGACTTTATTCAAAACTTTCTTCGCATCGAATAGAATGTAGAAAAGCAGATTTTAGACAAAATTATTTTCGGTCAAAAATCAGTAATTTTGGCAAGCCTATAGCCTTACTTTTTCACAAAAAATCGACAACTTCTTAGGCCCAATTTTTGTGTTGAACCACATTCTATTAGGTGAAGACTTTATTCAAAACTTTCTCCAGATCAAATAGAATGTACAAAAACAGATTTTAGAAAAAATTATTTTTGGTCAAAAATAAGTAATTTTGGCAAGCCTATAGCCTTAATTTTTTTACAAAAAATCGACAACTTGTTAGGCCCAATTTTTCTGTAAAATCGCATTCTATTAGGTGAAAACTTTATTCAAAACTTTCTCCATATCAAATAGAATGTACAAAAACAGATTTTAGACAAAATTATTTTCGGTCAAAAATCAGTAATTTTGGCAAGCCTATAGCCTTACTTTTTCACAAAAAATCGACAACTTGTTAGGCCCAATTTTTCTGTTAAAGCACATTCTATTAGGTCAAGACTTTATTCAAAACTTTCTTCGCATCAAATAGAATGTAGAAAAGCAGATTTTAGACAAATTTATTTTTGGTCAAAAATCAGGAATTTTGGCAAGCCTATAGCCTTAACTTTTTCACAAAAAATCGACAACTTGTTAGGCCAAATTTTTCTGTTAAATCGCATTCTATTAGGTCAAGATTTTATGCAAAACTTTCTTCGCATCAAATAGAATGTAGAGAAGAAGATTTTAAATAAAATTATTTTTGGTCAAAAATCAGTAATTTTGGCAAGCCTATAGCCTTACTTTTTCACAAAAAATCGACAACTTGTTAGGCCCAATTTTTGTGTTAAATCGCATTCTATTAGGTCAAGTCTTTATTCAAAACTTTCTTCGCATCAAATAGAATGTAGAAAAACAGATTTAATGCAAAATTATTTTCGGTCGAAAAAAAGTAATTTTGACAAGCCTATAGCCTTCCTTTTTCACAAAAAATCGACCACTTGTTAGGCCCAAATTTTCTGTTAAATCGCATTCTATTAGGTGAAGACTTTATTCAAAACTTTCTTCGCATCAAATAGAATGTAGAAAAACAGATTTTAGACAAAATTATTTTTGGTCAAAAATCAGGAATTTTGGCAAGCCTATAGCCTTAACTTTTTCACAAAAAATCGACAACTTGTTAGGCCCAATTTTTCTGTTAATTCGCATTCTATTAGGTGAAGACTTTTTCAAAACTTTCTTCGCATCAAATAGAATGCAGAAAAGCAGATTTTAGGCAAAATTATTTTTGGTCAAAAGTCAGTAATTTTTGCAAGCCTATAGCCTTACTTTTTTACAAAAAATCGACCACTTGTTAGGCCCAAATTTTCTGTTAAATCGCATTCTATTAGGTGAAGACTTTATTCAAAACTTTCTTCGCATCAAATAGAATGTAGAAAAACAGATTTTAGACAAAATTATTTTTAGTCAAAAATCAGGAATTTTGGCAAGCCTATAGCCTTAACTTTTTCACAAAAAATCGACAACTTGTTAGGCCCAATTTTTGTGTTAAATCGAATTCCGATAGGTCAAGACTTTTTTCAAAACTTTCTTCGCATCAAATAGAATGTAGAAAAGCAGATTTTAGACAAAATTTTTTTTGGTCAAAAATCAGTAATTTTTGCAAGCCTATAGCCTTACTTTTTTACAAAAAATCGACAACTTGTTAGGCCCAATTTTTCTGTTAAATCACATTCTATTAGGTGAAGACTTTATTCAAAACTTTCTTCGCATCGAATAGAATGTAGAAAAGCAGATTTTAGACAAAATTATTTTCGGTCAAAAATCAGTAATTTTGGCAAGCCTATAGCCTTACTTTTTCACAAAAAATCGACATTTTGTTAGCCCCAAATGTTTGTGTTAAACCACATTCTATTAGGTGAAGACTTGATTCAAAACTTTGTTCGCATCAAATAGAATGTAGAAAAGCAGATTTTAGACAAAATTATTTTTGGTCAAAAATCAGTAATTTTAGCAAGCCTATAGCCTTAACTTTTTCACAAAAAATCGACAACTTGTTAGGCCCAATTTTTCTGTAAAATCGCATTCTATTAGGTGAAAACTTTATTCAAAACTTTCTCCAGATCAAATAGAATGTACAAAAACAGATTTTAGAAAAAATTATTTTTCATCAAAAATCAGTAATTTTGGCAAGCCTATAGCCTTACTTTTTCACAAAAAATCGACAACTTGTTAGGCCCAATTTTTTCTGTTAAACCACATTCTATTAGGTAAAGACTTAATTCAAAACTTTCTTCGCATCAAATAGAATGTAGAAAAGCAGATTTTAGACAAAATCATTTTTGGTCAAAAATAAGTAATTTTGGCAAGCCTATAGCCTTACTTTTTCACAAAAAATCGACAACTTGTTAGGCCCAATTTTTCTGTTAAAGCACATTCTATTAGGTGAAGACATTATTCAAAACTTTCTTCGCATCAAATAGAATGTAGAAAAGCAGATTTTAGACAAAATTATTTTTGGTCAAAAATCAGAAATTTTGGCAAGCCTATAACCTTACTTTTTCACAAAAAATCGACAACTTGCTAGCCCCAATTTTTTCTGTTAAACCACATTCTATTAGGTGAAGACTTTATTCAAAACTTTCTTCGCATCAAATAGAATTCAGAAAAGCAGATTTTAGACAAAATTATTTTCGGTCAAAAATCAGTAATTTTGGCAAGCCTATAGCCTTACTTTTTCACAAAAAATCGACAACTTCTTAGGCCCAATTTTTGTGTTGAACCACATTCTATTAGGTGAAGACTTTATTCAAAACTTTCTCCAGATCAAATAGAATGTACAAAAACAGATTTTAGAAAAAATTATTTTTCATCAAAAATCAGTAATTTTGGCAAGCCTATAGCCTTACTTTTTCACAAAATATCGACAACTTGTTAGGCCCAATTTTTTCTGTTAAACCACATTCTATTAGGTAAAGACTTTATTCAAAACTTTCTTCGCATCAAATAGAATGTAGAAAAGCAGATTTTAGACAAAATTATTTTTGGTCAAAAATCAGTAATTTTGGCAAGCCTATAGCCTTACTTTTTTACAAAAAATCGACAACTTGTTAGGCCCAATTTTTGTGTTCAATCGCATTCTATTAGGTCAAGACTTTATTCAAAACTTTCTTCGCATCGAATAGAATGTAGAAAAGCAGATTTTAGACAAAATTATTTTCGGTCAAAAATCAGTAATTTTGGCAAGCCTATAGCCTTACTTTTTCACAAAAAATCGACAACTTCTTAGGCCCAATTTTTGTGTTGAACCACATTCTATTAGGTGAAGACTTTATTCAAAACTTTCTCCAGATCAAATAGAATGTGAAAAAAAAGATTTTAGAAAAAATTATTTTTGGTCAAAAATAAGTAATTTTGGCAAGCCTATAGCCTTAATTTTTTTACAAAAAATCGACAACTTGTTAGGCCCAATTTTTCTGTAAAATCGCATTCTATTAGGTGAAAACTTTATTCAAAACTTTCTCCAGATCAAATAGAATGTACAAAAACAGATTTTAGACAAAATTATTTTCGGTCAAAAATCAGTAATTTTGGCAAGCCTATAGCCTTACTTTTTCACAAAAAATCGACAACTTGTTAGGCCCAATTTTTCTGTTAAAGCACATTCTATTAGGTCAAGACTTTATTCAAAACTTTCTTCGCATCAAATAGAATGTAGAAAAGCAGATTTTAGACAAAATTATTTTTGGCCAAAAATCAGTAATTTTGGCAAGCCTATAGCCTTACTTTTTCACAAAAAATCGACAACTTCTTAGGCCCAATTTTTTGTGTTCAATCGCATTCTATTAGGTGAAGACTTTATTCAAAACTTTCTTCGCATCAAATAAAATGTAGAAAAACAGATTTTAGACAAAGTCATTTTTGGTCAAAAATAAGTAATTTTTGCAAGCCTATAGCCTTACTTTTTCACAAAAAATCGACAACTTGTTAGGCCCAATTTTTCTGTTAAAGCACATTCTATTAGGTCAAGACTTTATTCAAAACTTTCTTCGCATCAAATAGAATGTAGAAAAGCAGATTTTAGACAAAATTATTTTTGGTCAAAAATCAGTAATTTTGGCAAGCCTATAGCCTTACTTTTTCACAAAAAATCGACAACTTCTTAGGCCCAATTTTTTGTGTTCAATCGCATTCTATTAGGTCAAGACTTTATTCAAAACTTTCTTCGCATCAAATAGAATGTAGAAAGGCAGATTTTAGACAAAATTATTTTCGGTCCAAAATAAGTAATTTTGGCAAGCCTATAGCCTTACTTTTTCACAAAAAATCGACAACTTGTTAGGCCCAATTTTTGCGTTAAATCGCATTCTATTAGGTCAAGACTTTATTCAAAACTTTCTTCGCATCAAATAGAATGTAGAAAGGCAGATTTGAGATAAAATTATTTTTGGTCAAAAATAAGTAATTTTGGCAAGCCTATAGCCTTACTTTTTCACAAAAAATCGACAACTTGTTAGGCCCAATTTTTGCGTTAAATCGCATTCTATTAGGTCAAGACTTTATTCAAAACTTTCTTCGCATCAAATAGAATGTAGAAAGGCAGATTTTAGACAAAATTATTTTCGGTCAAAAATAAGTAATTTTGGCAAGCCTATAGCCTTACTTTTTCACAAAAAATCGACAACTTGTTAGGCCCAATTTTTTGTGTTAAACCACATTCTATTAGGTGAAGACTTGATTGAAAACTTTGTTCGCATCAAATAGAATGTAGAAAAACAGTTTTTAGACAAAATTATTTTCGGTCAAAAATTAGTAATTTTGGCAAGCCTATAGCCTTACTTTTTCACAAAAAAGCGACAACTTGTTAGGCCCAATTTTTTGTGTTAAACCACATTCTATTAGGTGAAGACTTGATTGAAAACTTTGTTCGCATCAAATAGAATGTAGAAAAACAGTTTTTAGACAAAATTATTTTCGGTCAAAAATTAGTAATTTTGGCAAGCCTATAGCCTTACTTTTTCACAAAAAATCGACAAATTGTTAGGCCCAATTTTTTGTGTTAAACCACATTCTATTAGGTGAAGACTTGATTGAAAACTTTGTTCGCATCAAATAGAATGTAGAAAAACAGTTTTTAGACAAAATTATTTTCGGTCAAAAATTAGTAATTTTGGCAAGCCTATAGCCTTACTTTTTCACAAAAAAAGCGACAACTTGTTAGGCCCAATTTTTTGTGTTAAACCTTATTCTATTAGGTGAAGACTGGATTCAAAACTTTCTTCGCATCAAATAGAATGTAGAAAACAGATTTTAGACAAAATTATTTTCGTCCGAAAAACAACTATTTCCGCGAAAAATTGACAACTTGTTGGCCGCCATTTTTCGTTTTAAATCATACTCCATTAGGTCAAGACTTTATTCAAACCTTTTTTCAACTCTTCTTTTCACAGATCAACATTTAAAGTCTTGTGTGATCAATTTTGAGGTTCGAGTGTTCGATGCAGAATGATACCCTTACAGTGTGGGACATGAGTTTTGAAAAAATTCACTTCAAGAAAAGGCTAAGCTATAAGAGATGCTTGTTAATTGCTTTCTGCAAAAATTATGGGCAAAGTTATTGTCAAATGTTATCCATTTTTGGCTGACCAAAGTTTTTTATGAGAGAACTGTTATATGATAGGTTTGTTTAACCATTACTAGATATCATGTCGTCGAATCCTATGCTTTCATGTTCCCTGGTCGGAAGTTGAATTGAATTACAAACCTTTCGATTTAGCCTGGCTTCTGAAAGAATAGAAAGTTCGAATTTCAGAAGTTCAGCCAGTTAAGAATTCATTCTCGCATAATTGCAGCTATACGCCATTTTCAAAATCAGTTTTGATGGCTTCGTTCTTTGATTCTGTTTGCTGTCTTGGGGGGTATTGCCCCCAAACCCCCCTTAATCCATCGTCAATTTATTAATGTTATTTCATATCAAATTATGAATGAATGTCTTCGTTTCTTCAAATCTTCATTCTCATTGTTGCTCGCATCATCGTTGCTAGATAGTAGCGATTCAATTCAACTTTCGAACAGGGAACAAAAAGTGAGTCCCTAAAACTGCAGTCTAGCCCAAAAATCGTTTTTCGACTTTAACCACATTTTGGGGATACAAAGGCTTGGTCTATTTCCAGAAAAGACAGCTCATATCTGAGCATGTTTCTGTTGCAAAAAGAAATCCAGCGCAACGCTATCAATCTTTTATCAAAGGTGTCCCAGTACTTGTTGAACGTGATGTTAATAGATTGCCATTCAATTTTCAATAAAAAGACCTATTTCTTCTTTATAAAAATTCATTCTCAATATTTTCAAACATTACCATTAAATCATTATTTTTTACAAAAATTTCCCGCCATGTTTGGATGAAAAATTATATCCAAAGAGTAGTCTACTTGTTAAATATCAAATTGTACTAAAAAAACTATCTATGATAACGAAAATTTTAAAGTCTGGGAAAGCTACCAATTCTATTGGATCTTCAAGTATGGAAAAATGGCTTTGAAAAAACAAAAATCTTGAAACATACGAACAATTTTTTCGAACACTCTTAAACGTAAGAAGTACACATCGAAAATTCTAAAGAAGAGACTTTAAGACTCAGGATGTTTTTACGTTTTACACACTGAAAAATGTAAGACGAAAAGCCTTAGTATGCTTCAAAATGCTTGCCTTTTTTCAAAGCAATTTCTAATTTTTATACCACTAAAAAGCAGAGGTAGGAAAAACAACATCTCGTTTAAAATCAGCTGGCCAGGAGAATTTGAAACTATTGTTTGTCCTGAACACAAGTGAATTATTCTCTGTTCACACGAAAAAGGATTTATCTCGCACCAGATTCATTTAAATTCGGATTAATTTCGCATCAGATTCATTCCGCAGAGATCCCGCTTGTACCAGATTCATTTCGCATCGCATTTAATTCGAACCGGATTCATTGGGCATCAGATCCATTTTACAGCCGATTTGTCTCGCACCAGATTCATTTCACACCAGACTCGTTTCAAATCGGATTAATTTCGCACCAGAATCATTTCGCAGAGATCCAGCAGCGTGTACTAGACTCACTTCGCATCGCATTAAATTTGAACCGGATTCATTGCGCATCGGATCCATCTTACAGCAGATTGTATGGCGCCAGATTAATCTCACACCGGACCCATGTCGAATCGGAATCTATCGCATTATATCCGTCTCATAGCGGATTAATTTTGTAGTGGATTTGTCTCCCACCAGATTAATTCCACACAGGATAAATTCACCTTGCGTTCAAGTTGGAATTTGCGTTTCATAGCAGACTCCGATTTCGCATGGTGAAACTCAATTCGCTCTGATGGTGCGGGGGGGGGCAGTAAAGTTGCAGTGGATTTATCCCACTTCAAACTCTTCTTTTCAATGGACAAATCGGAGTCGGACGGACGGTGGTAACAGACATCTTGCAGTAAGGGACAGAGCAGGAGCGTTTAAAACGTAGAATATTTTAAATCAACCCGATAACGCGTGATCAGGGCTAAATTTGACATAAGACTCTCTGAGAACATCCAATATGACCCAGTTGAGAAGTCCTTGCGGCATTGTGCGAAAATCTCAATTTTACCATTGTAACATCACAGCACCACATTCATCTTTGGGTGCTTTTATGCAACAATCAGTAACAGGCTGGACATAGAATATAATGTTCTTACGAGTCGTTTTAGGGATATCAAATCGAGTCGCTCTGAATGACTGGACAAATGCTTTGCCAAGAAATATCCCCAGTTCATCTTCTTCATACCTTTCCCGTGAAAGATCATCCCAGAAAACATTGTAATTGCTGATCACTGCTTGACAGGCACCCCTTGCAAGGCAATCCCACATGATCGTTGTGCTTAAGACAAAATGGTCGTCTTTGTCTTCAACTAAAGAGTCCCGGAACCGCATATTATTAATCACAGGGAACTCAGGCACCAGATCTTGAACGGCATGCACCTTGATGTAAATACAGGACGAAAAATCTTTACGCTTAGGGTAAGGCGCTTAAGCAATAACACGAAAATTCTTATTGACATCATTTAAGTACCCTTGCCATTCAAACACCAGGCAAGGGACTTAATTGAATATGAAACACAAATACAAAATGACATCGTTTTTCGGTTTGTGTCTTCCATTTCCAGTTTTCTTGTAATTTGGTGCGTTTTAAACCACCGTTCAAAAAAGAGGTTTATCAAAGAAGAAACCACTAAAATTTACAGGAAACATTAAATGAGCCTGACTTATTTCCAGGAGAGTATTGGGAGGAAGGCAGGGGGGAGGGGTAAATGCCCTTCAACCTTTTCAACTCTTATTTGTCAGAAAATTTTGAAAATTTTGCTGGAAGTTGAATGAAACTATTGTCTAAGTATTTATTTAATAACAACGAAATATAAAAATAGAAACTCACTTACCCGAACCTCCCCTAAGAGCAATGAGAACGGTGAAATTTTCTCGCCAACTGAAATAACAGAAAATATTTAATCAGAGGACCAAGATCAATGCAATGCGATCGACCAATTTTTTATGTTTGCATTAAAACAGGTAGAAACTTTACACTATAAAAGCACATGTGAGAAATTCGACTATAAAGATCAAATTGAGAAAAATCAGTAAGAAAATAAATGTACTGAAAAACGTGATCGATTAATTTAATGATAAAATTAACTAAAGAAAGTGGGCACCGCAAACCGTAAGTGGGTGTCTGTATATCATTAGGCTTTTTGACTTTGATGCAAGAAATCTTTCTTGGGTATCAAATTCATGCTGCCCAGTTTGGCATTCTTGGGTTAATAACTTGTTTTATATCACTTTAAGATGGGAAATTTGTTTACTGTCAATCGGTTGCCGCTTCATAGTGATTTACTATCATTTGTAAGTAAGGTTAAATGGTACATCCTGCTGCTCTAAGCACGTACCTTTTACACAACATTTTTGAGCCAATTTATGAAAAATATAATATTTTTTAAATAAATACTTAAGTGAAATAAATCTCGAGGTTTCGGGATAATATGCCTCAAAAACTAGTAAATGAAATGGGTGCAAATGAAACTCCGCTGTCTCTCATTTTTCCTTATCATTAGGCACGTCCGGTTGACTACTTTTCAAATTCGTATTTGAAGGTACTCTTCACAATAGATACAATTAATAACGAGAAAATTATCGGAGCTTAACTCCTGGATTCCACAACACGGTCCTTAATGACCCAAGACGATAAAATCTAGTGTGATTGAGAAGTTTTCCAACAGCGCTAGGTTATTGGTGAGTTGATGATTGGCAGATAATTCTGACAGATCGGATTGATCGCTTCATACCCGATAGGGCCCAGAATAACAAATTCAAGATCTGAATACCAAATTTTCCAAGCATCAACATAAAGATGTCTTCCAGCATCACATCAACGCAAATAATACAACAACCACGCTCAAATGCAATACAAACCTGAAGATGTAGCCGTGCATGCAAGTCGAATTTCTTTCAATATCCTTGCATTTTTCTCGGAAATTAAGTAATACCTGGAAAACGATCAATTCCTCATTCCAAATCAATTGAAAATAACAAAAACATAATTGAAACAAATAGTGAATTCTATAACATCTTTAATCTATAAGTACAGCACAGATTGGCCTATTTCGATCCACAACTGGGTATGTATATTTCCTAGCGTAGAGTTTTCGATCTATGTTCTGACGTTTTAAACTCTGAAGAGTGTCAGACGAAAAGCTTTAGTTTACTCAAATGTTTGCTTTTTTCAAAGCCATTTTCAAGTTTTGCACCACCAAAAGATTGTTTTAATACAGGAAAGTTTAAATACATCAATAAATTTTCTGATAAACAAACTGGAACTTCTAGCTACAAGATACAGAGCATACCTTGTCTTCCAGTTGACATTATTTCTTCCTAAAATCACGTTCATGGTTTCTTCCTCTTTGCCATGCAAGGGCTGCAGTATCATATAATTTCCTGATTCGCCCACAGGAAAATCACAACTTGAACTATCGACTTGACGAGAAGCATTGAATTCATGGTTACCAATCATTATTTCATTCTGCTTCTCAGCTTTTCTTTCTGAAAAGAAAAGCAACTTAAACTTAAAAATAAGGCAGGAGATTGCTTCAGCGGAGAAAAGGACAAAAGGAGAAGAATTATTCAGAGAACCAAAAACAGCGGGAAAAGATACAGACGAAGAAAAAAGGGTACATGCAAAGAAAAGAGGAAGAACGAAAAGAAAAATATCAGAAAAAAGAGAGTGTGACCAAGAAAAACCGGGTGTGCGTGGTATTGGTAATGCCACGTCAAAGAGTTGCCACGCAAGTCAAAGATTAAGAAAAGTACAAAATAATAGAAAAAATTTAGAGCAGAAGAAGATAGTATAAACGAAGAAGAAATTGAAGGGATAAAGAAATTGAAGTGGTGATAAAGATACGAAAAAATTGAGGAGGCAAAGAGGAACTCTTTAAAGGGGTACGATGTATTTAGGGATAACAAGTCGTGGAAAAAGTTTGAACTTAAAAAATGTCTCTGCTTAACACCACTGTTAAAGAAAATTACTTTGTGAACGCAAATGCAAGACAATAATCTTAGGGAGACAACAAGTGAAGTCAAACACCCCATATCAGTTGTTTATTGTTAAGAATCAGCTGGCTTACCTTGGCCTAAAGGTGCTAGAACGGTGTAATTCGGCTTGCCCTCAAGAAGCAGCAGAAGATAAACTTGAAGATCGTTGTAATATTTTACTTTGAATGTAAAACTCACAATGATAGGAGAGTCTAGATGGCAGCCACATCTGAAAAGCCTGGGAGCGGAAAGAAAATATGTTTATTAATCACATGCTTAAATCATTATACCGTGATCAAGAATTATTGTAAGTTAAGAAATCAGAGAGAAAAACAACATCTGCTGCCAGAAAAAACCTGATGTAAAAATTTGGAAAGTTTGAAAATGGAAATGTGGAGTTTTCTTACTTAAAACGAAAAAAATTTTGGTCGCTTGAAGCTGAGAAGACAGTAAATCGAATATGCATAGCCTGGTTTGGCATTTACGGCATTTTCGTGATACGGCCTAAGTCCGCATTGCAAAAACATATTTTACCTGAATATAGCTCTTGAGCCTTGTATTCTTGTATTAACATCCCCTTCAATCTTCAAGCATCCACCGCCTTCAAATCCATCATCAATACAATAACCAATATCCTTGATTTCAATTCCTTTTTTAGGACCAAGTACAAAGTACTCATCGTTAAATGACGGCTGCAGTTGCTGGCAGCTAAGATGCGTCCACGATGTAGATATCAGTTTCTAGGAGAAAAATGATACGTTTTCAAGGCAGTGAAGCAAGAAATGGTGGCTACACAAACAAACAAAGATAATTTGAGAGGAAAGCATAAAAATGAAAATCGTAATTGTATAGCATCTCGTTCTGTTATTTGTGTCAACAGTGGGATGTAATTCAAAGAAAAGATGCCTGTCTTGGGCTTACGACAGGGAATGGTAAGACACATGTTTTTGTATTCTTTGGAGACCCGTTGCTACAGTGTGACAGTAAATGAGTTCCCAAATAATGAATTGAGCTTTGGTCTGTATCCGTAAACTTCAGCACTGCCATCAACCATTCTAGTGACAAATTGGGCTTCTAGATCAGGTAACATTATAGGCCATACAGGTATTCGACAGAATGTAAAAATAGCATAAAGCCTTCCAGAAAGGAGGCTAGCAAGAAGGAATGGAACAAAAATGGATAGTTGGCAGGACAAAGCTGTGTAGATATTGGAGATTCTGCATTTCTGTTTCTTGAAAACGGGGCTTACTTGACTGTATATTGCATACATCACCCATTAATCAGAACATTCTACCTTGAGATTTTGACTATTTTGATTATGACACCATATTCAGGTTACTACGCAACATAGCTTGAGGTTAGTATATAAAGGATAACACGAGAACTGAGAAAAAGTGGAGCAAATGACTAAAATATGGAAGGAGATCTTTCCGAGTCAACGCAACTATTGCTCACTCCCCGATAAAATTAGGAACTATTCTACACACAACATTCCCGTATCTAGCAGAAAATTATCTGAACAAGCAAAAGAAAGTTTATAAAACAATGAAAATCTACTAAAACTTTTATGTAACATCTTAAGCCGAATAAAAGCTTGCAGTTCATATCAAAATCGAAAGTTTGTACCTTCCCGCTAGAAAAATAATGCTTTCCAAATCCTTGACAAAATGAAGATAAAATTGGTAACTTAACGGGAAAATGTGGGTAAAGATAGGGTGCAATCAAACGCCAGAATCTGAAAAGAAATCAAGGAAAGGATTTAGTTATCGACGTTAGGAATTCTGATATCATGTCAAACATCAGGATATTTGATGATCAGAAACATAGATTGAAAGAGCTTTCGTCAACAAATCAGGCCAGGGCACCACAACTGCATTGAAAGATAGTGGTGGCTGATAGGAAAGAATCTCTTTTGGTAAGAATTCCAGCAACAAAAGGGCAATTCGTTTACATAAATGATGTTATTTACTTCATTTTATCGTCTTGAGTGGCTCGGATGATATCAACCGCCAGTGGTTTTAAGTTAACAACCACGTAGTTTTGCAGTTTTGCTTTTTTGATGAAAGAGAGGTGGGTTTTATTGGATTTAATTGAACTGAATGATGGGATAAGATCTGATTGCAAAAGCTTGATGTTTATGTACAATATTTAATAGCACTCAACTTACCAAGAGGTACCCGAACATTGTAATGCAACTTCAAAATTCTTAGTTACAAGAGTAGTTAGCTACAAAACATTAATTGATATCTGTTGTGGGCCATTGTGCTTTGTAATGTCTCTGCACGTTTTTAGTAGAGTTTACTAAATTTGCAATTTTAAAGATTAATAGCAGCAATCCTGCCTCTCTTGATTGTGCGGTAAAGTAAATTCATAAATGACTTCGACAAATATGCCAATAACCTGCTTTGATTGCTTGTAAAGTTGTCCTCTCCTTGGGTTTCCAGCACCCATCCCGGCGCAAATATTGCAGCAGAAAGATTATGTTCACGGATAACTTGCAATGCCTAGAAATAAGCCAAGACAAATCGTAAATTTAGGCCAATGTGATATGAATCAATGTAGAAACTGGCTCTGATTTTGTAAATCTTACCACCAAGCCCTAACACAAAAACATTGCTACTTTATAGTTCACCCAAATAAATTCTCGGCTTAGAACCGTCATGTTCGGTACACAAAAGATCGTACAGGCCCCCCACACTGCATCGAGCACTTCATGACAAAAACTTGTGAAAGAAATCCACCGAGATTAATATGCCAACGCAGATTCGGTCAAAACCTTTATCAAAAATATACATGTAATGAAATAAATAATAAATAACGAATTAAAAACTTATCAAGTACAAAATTATCTTTATGACTGATTTTTAGACAAAGCAGCCTTTTTCGTCACTTGGATATCAAAATAGTAGCATAAAAAATGCCTGCACCAACACTCCACCGTGGCTTCTTTACTTTTTAAATCACAAGTAAACATGACCAATTACAGTTTATAAAACATTTTCTTTCGGCATGTCATTGATAATAATAAAAGGCATTTGGCATTCGGTTATTTCTAAGTGTAATTTTGCCTTGAAGTTGACAAGAATATTTGCTCACTAACTTGCCATTCAGGCTATTTCATCCTAAAATGCTACCAAATCGTCAAGAAAAAGCTTCAGCAAAAACAGGATAGTTTAGAGGAGACCACAAAACAAAATATCAAAAAATGTGCAGAAGATGTGTACGTGCATGTGAATCAGGGGTAAATAGCATTAGCTGTTGGATTTCAGCCATGCTAGGCAACCCTACAACATTGCAGGTGACATGATCAAGTAGACCTTATTTGGACAGTAATCGTTTCGATTTACATAGAAACTATTGCAGAAACTATTACCATAGAAACCTGCAATTACAGACCACTGAACTGAAATTCTACTTGTTACATCTTGATCTCCATGGTAATTTACAATGCCGAGTTGGAGAAAGGTGATGAAGATGATCACTTCTTATGCATATTGGCAGCAAGGGGTGAATCACTAGTGAGAGTATGTCTGAGGAGGAATGGCAGTATAGTATCCCCAATCCCCCAGGGGGGTACTCCCATTATGGCCTGACAGGGGGTCCAATCAGAGTCAAAGAGAGCCAAAGCTAAAGTGTTAAAAAATTACCCGCGAATGGTAGTCTTTTTTTACAATAACCCTCAAATGGTAGCACAATAACCGAAATTATGCCCTTGGTAGCATTCATGTGCTCGTCTGGTCCTCCTTTGACAAGTTTATTCGCTATTAAATGTTGTTGATTCGGGAAAGATAAGATTTTGTTAATTTTCTATAATAATTGCAACCTAAACAATGGAGCTGATTAAAAGTTCCCCCTACAAGGTAGCAACTACTTGAAATACCCCCAAATGGCAGTGTTATTGTTGAAACTGGGCCATTTGGTAGCCATTTGATAAGACCCTCAAATCCACTGGACCCCCATGTCAGGCCTTAATAGGAGTACCCTCCCGGGGCCCAATCTCTCATTAGTCAGTGACCGAAGGTCTTTAGTTGTTCGCAAAATCCATAGTCAGTCCGGAAAAAATTCACCCGATCATATGTGAATAGGAACCAAATCTTCATTCGTGCCTTTAAGTCTCAAATTTTCACACCAGCCTCCTTTGCCAGGAAGGTAAAAGAATGTCATTTTTATAGCAATATGTTTTGTTATAAAATGTAATTAGAATGTCTTAAATAAAACCCTAAAAACCCACTGATTAAATAACGAAGTAAGGCATTCCTCTCTCTCTGAATGTAACCAGAATGACTGAGTGACCAACTATTCTTTTCTTAAGAAAAGAGCTATATGACTGGCTTTCTAAATGAGACAAAATTTCCAAAATAAAATGACGTTACCTTGTACGTGTTCCAGCCACCTCCACCAAAACAACCACGACCAAAGCAGTCAACACCAACATATACATCGAAATTTCTGTCACTTCCAGCTATAATCGACGACCTTGACAAATGGTGTACTGACCAGGTATAATTCAGGAAGATTCCATCGCAAACATCAAAAAACTTGCTGTTCGGAAGAAAGTGTCATTTAAGTGATGAAATTGTAAACTTTGAGTTCAGTTATAAGTACATTATTTTCCAATGAGCAGTTATTCATTATGAATTGACAGAGTGCAACAATGATAAGCAATGTAAAATTCGGCTAAGCTTGTGAGCATGAGAAATTTCCTCTCAAGCAACGCCATATTGACCAATGATAATTAAAGAAAATATGCTCTTAAATCCCTATCCCGAGATTTTGGGGGTAGTGCCCTGTGATCACATTGTTGTTGTCTTAGATTGGAAAACATTTAAAGGAGTGTTGAGTGCAGCAAAAGTGCTATTGATTAGTAAGCACAAACTGAATATAAGGAAAATTTAAAGACTCCAAGTCCAATAAAGTCAAATTTGTTGATACACCTTAGCTGTCATCAAAACTGTGTCACAAATTTTAAACTGAAAGAAACCCTAGTAACTAAACCATGGTTACTGTAAATTTTTCTTTGAAAACGCAACCAGAAACACCAATTACAAGACTTGTCAATTTTGTGTTCCTAAAAAAATGGGAACTATTATTTAATCCAATTAGTTATATTGCTTATATTGTACTCTCCGTTGTTCCTTTCATCTCCAAAAGCTTCAGATTTGGTAGGGCTGCATTACCAACCTTACAATACACAATAATCCTCCAATTTATGGTTGGAAGCTTTGTTAGTTAGAACAGTTATGTTAGGTGTTAACTTAGTAACATCGATTAAAACATATAAAATGAAGCTTGAACAAGAGAATGCACAGATTTGGTATAAAAAGAACTACCTGTTGTTAGCATTCAGCTCATCTTGCCATTTCAACTCCCCCTGGACTGTCACACTGTCATACCAAATAACCTGACTGGATGGATTAGATGCATGCATTCTTTTCGTCAGTATGTCAAGAAAACCAATTAAATTCTCCACTTGACTGGCCTACAAAATTAATAATATATCCATCATCCTAAAACCATAGCAAAGGCATCAATTTTGACAACTGTATAAACTTATCAAAACCACTTGAAAACAAATTGTCATAAAGTATTGGCTAGAACTGGTTGCTTTTCATTGTCAGGGAAACTGTCCAATAAAGGTTGAGGTAATGTTTTAGACCAATAACTACACTTTAATCCCTAAACCTTTATTCAGCTTAAACGACTTCTGCCAAATTCTATACTAATCAGTTCATATATAGACAAATCAAAAGATATGCTTTTAGCATATTCAAGAGCCTCTACTCTCTACAAATATGGTATGAATTATCTTTATTGAATCACAGTAAAAATAAGCTCATCTCAAGAGTGACAATAATGGTAATGATAATTATGATGATGATGAGGTAAGAGGATGTTCATACATCAAATTTTTAGTCTATGTCTATAAATACACAAAATGTATTGATACACAAAGTTTACTTCTGACCTCATATTAGTTTCACTATTCAAATTCTCAAATTTTCTTCAAAGCTAGAAATTTCCTCGTGACCAAGTTTCATCTTATTCAAAATTTAGTCAAAGAAAACTTTGTCAATTTAATGTTTGTCTAAAATTTTGTCATAACAAAATTATTTGTGGTTAATGTCATACTACTGTCTTATATTTGTGGTCAATATTATATTATCCGTATTATCATACATTATATTATATCATCAATGTGCAAAATTATCAAAACTAAGAGCAAGGGCCATCGCTATCACTTGTGCCAAACAGAGGTGCCACAATCCCAATTGCGGAAAAAGGGGGTGGTCTATCCTTTATTGCCGACATATGTGAAAATTTGACAACGAAGCAACTAACAATGGGAAAAAACTTCGCATTATAAAAAAATTGAATTTTACTCCAAGGGGGTGTCATGCCCCCATACACTGTAGTGACAGCCTTGCTAAGGACAACAAAATTTATCCTTCAAAAATTGGTTGAAATGAAATTGAGGAGAACATACTTGAATTTGGTTCTCTATGTTAACAAGCCAACCGTCAAACTGGTAATAGCATGCTATACCAACTAACTGGTTTGCAAATCTTGTATAGGAAGCTTTACTTTCCAGAATATTTGCACAATGTTTGGCACCATCATCCCATTCAGTTATAAATGTGCCTAGAACTTTAACTCCATGCTGGTGACAGCAGTTTGTCCAACATGGTGGTGGGATTGTAACAAGATTGTGACTGAAGTATACAAATGTGTCAATAAAATTCCACTGAGATATACTGTAGCAAGCTGTTGAGTTAAAACCTTGAACATATCTGTGAAAGAAGTAAAAAGAATAATCAAATCAAACATTATGGAACCAATACGAAGAAAATATTACTTTAAAATAAAAAGGTGGTTGTTCTCTATAGGTAAAAATTTTTCTTGCTGAGAAAGTAAATGATGTTTATTTTCCAAAGCAAAATGTTAATTTTCGAATCCAGTTTTTCTTAGAGGGATGAAAGTCTGGATTATGTAAACATATGACCTCAACTGGGAGGTAGTGGAAAACTGTCCAGTAAGGCTTTTGACTTGATAAAAGAAGGTTTCTTACCAGCGAATATCACAAGCCCACTTTTACCTGTCGGTACATACCCTGGAATTCATTTTGCCCAAAACAACACAAAGTCAACCTTGTCAAAACTTTACTACGTAGGGCAATCATGATCTGGAGAAATCTAAACTGGATTGGTAACACCTCCCTGCCATTCGAGAGTCAGATTAGGCAAGCCATCACAAGATGTTTCTTTGCTGTCAGTCCCTGTATTGTTTACAGCACTAGGAGAGCCCTTCAATCCATTCAAAAGGGTTGCGCTCCTACCAACCAAAAACGATTTGTTCTTTATGAATTTTTGTGCCAGTGTGATTCTGGCTACATAGGACACACAACCCAAAGATTGGGGGATAGGATAAGACAACATAATCCTTCCAACATAAGAAACAAAACTGCCCTGCAAAGAGAACAGCCTCCTCAATCTTATAGGTCTAGAAACACAGTTAAAACAAGCAATTCTGCCATCGGTTAGTATCTTTCAGATAACCCAGATTGTGCTAAACTCTATAATGACAACATGTTTCGGATAATTGGCAGAGCATAGTAATCTTTCCATCTAGTAGTTTTAGAATCGATTCACATACAAACAAAAAAGCTGCCATTGTGAAGACAGAAGGAGTTTGCTTTCTCTCTTGAACTGTAGAGGTAATTTTTCTTTAAGCATGTGGCACTGATTGTTCAACTATACTGGTCTTGAGCTTGCATTTTTCTGATTGGCCTATTTTGATCCACAACTATTTTATATATTTTTAATTGTGTTCTTCTGGACCCTTATTCTGATGTTTTATGCTCTGAGGAGTGTCAGAGGAAAAAGCTTTAAGCCAATATGTTGTAAAATGATTGCCTTTTTCCAAGTCATTTTCAAGTTTTGTACTGACGAAAACTGTTCAAAACAAGGTTTCTTAAAAACAAGGTTTCTCAAGGTTTTTTTGCAACTTATAATATTGAAATATACAGACACAGCTCTTCTTGGCTGCCCCTCTCCCTTAATCAGGCAAATTTACCAAATTTCAGGCTATATAAAGCAGTCCTTTTCGTTTAGCGCGTGCGATCGCACCCGCACACGCCTGCACACGCGCAAGTTAAATTGCGCGTGCTTTTGACCACACGCGCAAACAGGTGTTTTTGCAGTTTTCTGTTAAAGGGCCTCTCCAGCCAAATTTTGCACTTGCATTTTATTGGCAATTTTTATAAAGAAGTTGAGCCTGCTGATCACGAATTCGTTATTTGTTTTTCGATATTTTTTTACAGTTTGTGAGATATAAGCTCTTGCATTTCGATAACTTAATTGAATTAACCGACAGAAATTCTTGGTTTGGTGACACTGTGACGCAATTTTGAAGTCACAGTGTATTTCGGATAGTCTCGCCTCAAACCGAATCGAACGACGGCGATTCGCAAATTGAACACTGCAAGTGATGGTACTTTCAGTTCTGTTCCGCCAGCTTTTAGTTTGAGCATTTCAGACACCAATTCTGAAGCCTTTAGTTGTTCATCGTTTCTGGAGAACAACTGAAGTGACAATTTCGATTAATTATACGCGAGGGAAGAGCTGGAACTGGAACTGGATGCAGTTATCAACGCGTGACCATGAGTCCTTCACGCTTCGGTGGAAGATATACGAAATTCATGGCGAACGAGAGCCGCACATTGTGACGTCAGAATGTCACCAAACTGATTCGGCTTTTGTCGTTTTTTTTCTCGGAAAGGTGCAACTTTAAAGCCTTACAACTTCTAAACTAATTGGAATTTTTCAAAAACAATGACTTTGTCATAATACACGCACCAGATGCTAACTTTTAAGTCATTAAAAAAATTTTTTTTTGCTGGAGAGGCCCTTTAACATAAATTTCCCATGGTCTCATGATTGTTTATCCTTTCCCTTGTTACTTGATTCGCACTTTTGACCACAATATGATTTTTCCAATTTTCGGAAGTGATGTTTGGCTTTTGACTGAGTGCTCCATTCAACTTAGCGTCTCGTCTTTCAGCTAAGTCGCCATTAGCATGTTAAGTGTAATAACTCATTTCCTGTCAAAACGTAATTAGGCCCTGAAAGCAAGTAGCTGTTGGAAACAATTTTTACTTGCTCTTGTAACTTTGGAGAGTTACGACGACTTTTAAAAGATGGCTGCTAAGGGCAACAAAATCTGTTATGTATTGATTAATTGAGTTTTGCTCTTGCACGTATTCGAGTGGCTTTTTCCTTCTTGCTCCTTTTACCAATTTTATCAGGTTTGTACTTCAAATTTTCTTACAAGTGCGATCGCACGCGCAAATTTGTTTACATGTGCGATTTGCCACACACGCGTAATTTTGCTCACGAAAAGGACTGTAAAGGCAATTTCATCTTATTGAAGCAATGTTATTCAGGCAAGCTCCAAACTAACCCCCTAGACATGTTTAGCATCAAATTTGAATGAACTTTTTTTGAATGAACAAAAATGCTTTATCACGCCCCTCCCTGAATGAAGAGCAGGTATTGAAAATTTACACTGGATAAGAGAACAATGCCATGCTTCAAAATATGGCACATCCTTTGATAAAACATCTTGCAGTTATTCCTTTTTATTATTTTCTTTGTTAGACTCCAAAGTGAAGGCAAAGAAATTTGTAAAGGAAATTGAATGCATAGGCTTAAGGTGGGTTTCCACTTCACTATATGGACAGAAAACAATAAACAGTTTGTAAAGTTTCCGCCCATCAACTTCCACTTGACTTCATTTCTATTTCCATTTTATGAATGAAACATGCCTGAGGAAGAGCAAAGAAGGCATGTTTATGCTAAACAACTTTATGATACTTTTCTGTTTGAAAGAAGATTGAAAAGTTTAAAGAGAAAGAAATATGAGAAGGGCATATGAGTGAAACACATTTCAAGAAAAAAACCAAAAGGAAAGTTCCACCAAGGGAACTAGATAGAAATACAAATGTTGCTATGAAAAATACAAGAGGGACCTTCTTGAAAAATTTCTCAGAAATGATAGCAGAAAGTAGAAAAGGGTTTATTATTGGTATTTACAAGAGGGGCTCTACAACTCTGCCTGCTTCAACTGATGACAGGTAATACTATTTCAAGTATTTCAGAACAACTGTGACTCAGTTCGAAGCACAGCTTGTTGCTGAAGTTATGATGCAATGTCTTGAACATGATTGGTTGAGTGGTCAAACGATATGAATTCCGTGGAAAAAATTGCCTTGTTTTCAACTTTCAAAAACGGAAAGCGGTACTGTAAGTGTACCGTTCTTGAATGTCAAAATACCTTCTGTGCATGCGTGTACCATATTCTGTTTTCTGTCCATATTGTGAAGCGGAAATCCACCTTTACAAAATAAAGTTTCCTAAAACCTAAATTTCAAGTCCTGCCTGCAGACATGAATGATCAATGGCTTAATAAATTAATTTTAAAGGCATACCTGTCTTCAGTATAGCCTCCTCTCATATCATGACAAACAAGAGTTTTAGGCCTTCTAACTGAATCTCTTTTAGTTATTCTAAGGGGTAAATTTGCAACATTGAAATGATCAAAGCCAGGCATCCAACCATAAACCTCGCTGACTCCTTTCAAAGGTTGACAAATAGGCTGTGAAGTGTCTCTTTCTAGTTCATTATTCAATGTTAATGGTGAATTTTTTTCCAGTCTGGCCTAAAAGAGATAAAGAAAATATACTGAAATGACTTAAAGAACTTGCTTGTGACATCAAATATAAGCGTTTCTTACAACTCTTTTCATTTCATTTTAGATAATCAGACATCTAAACACTTTTTCTCATATAGTATAATAAAAAGATAGAATCCATGGGGTGATGGAGGTTTTGATCTTGTCATTGGGGTGGGGGCCCAATTTTTTATAGATATAGAAAGAATAATAACACAAAGAGGTAATATACAAACATGCACAAACCAAACCTGTAATGAGATAGAGGGTTAAGAGGCAACATGTGCTCATTTTGATTCTCAGTACATCTGTACATTGCAACTCATACACTACCAATACTTGCCCATCGATCTGCAAACGCTTTGGTTTAGGGCCCCTCTAGAATATTGGGGGCCTAGAGGGCCCCTTGCCCCCTCTAAATACCCCCTGAATAAGCTATGCTTACTGCTGGAATCTTGTTTAAACTTTTCGTTCCGATAGGAGTTTGTCTATCATTCTTCTCAGAAAGATTATTTACATCATTTGGGCGTCTACGAAGGTCATTTAATGTTGTCTTGTGTTCTGATAGACTTTCATTACTCCCCGCGTTTTGTTGTGAATTACCATAGCTATTACTTTCATCGTCATTTGATTGTTTCGTACAGTCAAGCCTTCTATTTGTAGCTTCAAGAACAAGCTTTCTTGACACTGCTCGTTCTCTCTTCCTTTTAGAATTTCTACCCAACCATAGAAAAAGAAAGTAAAATGACAAAATCCCAGCTATGAAACACCAAAGCAACGTACTGTCAGCCGCCATTTCTATAAACAGGACTTGTTTGTGTTTGCAACATTAAAGCCTCGAATTCGTGAAAGACGATTGAGTGATTGAGTACAAACAATCCTACAGAAGCGGTGACTGATCGTCAGGGGGTGCACTCCTAGAGCAAGCTCCTCATTTCGTGCTTCCAGAATCCAGTTTGGACGAGTATACTCATTTCGCTCTATAATTTCTATAATAAAATTGAGATATCACTGAGTAGGCAATATTAGAGTTTTTATTCAGATTGGAAAACAATAGCAAAATGCATCAACAAGCTCATATAATTTTTTTAAAGACTTGATAGTGTAGTGAAATTTATTTGAATTTTAACAAGGATACGGTTCTTGATATTTTGAACCACTACCAGGGCAGTTTAGATAAAATAATAAGAAAACCGATAAAGAAATTGAATGCGGAAAAATTAAATTTTATCAGAGTTAATTTCACGACGGATGTTGTAGAATTTGATTTACTAGGGTTTCTAATTGCCTTTTCCCCTGTTGATGTCAATTACCATGTTTTCATTCTGGTCGTTGGTCCTTGTGTGCCCCTTTTTGACGCATTTGGGATAAAGGGCAGTAGGAGTTCTGTATTTTGGGTTTCTACACAGAGTTGTTGGTCCCTTGGCTCTGATGAGGGTATTTAAGTGTTTAGGTGCAGCTTATCGTGATTGTTGGTAGACCCCGTACCCTCCCTCCCTTTTTGGTATCTAGCTAAGTGTGTTTTCTTTTTCAAGTCTTTTAAAATCTTTCGTTCTCTTAGAAATTAGAGCTTACCTACATCACAGAATTCTTTAAAAGGTCCTGTTGCTTTTTAGTTTAGGATGGGTCCGGCTTTTTATTCTATCATATTTCGTCTTTCCCTCTCATACCTTAGGAATCTAAGATAGGACTAGTGCAACGGCCCACTGGTGGGAAAAAGTGATATTTTCTTGTCCATTCCCTGCCTAGAACTTAAAACTGCATGGACTTGAGTTCAAGATTGTCTTTCAACAATGCCAGCAATATTTCTATCTCAGACGCCCCCCTTCCCCCTGGATGACTGGAGACGTTCCAGGGTCTGTTGATTGAGCATTTGATGAGTTGTCAAAATGCACAGTCGACGTATCCAACGCAGACGTTAAAGGGGACATTTTAGATTTGTAAATTGTTGACAAATGTTGTCTTCATAGCAAGTTCTAATAATAACATTATCTTTCTCAATTACAACATGACATCTGAATCAGAAGAGGAAATTTTTACGCGCTATGCAACGAACCAGACGGGGCCTAAACACAGGTCAGTGCCGAAGAAGAGGCAATCAAGAATGAAAAGACTGTTAAACAGCGGCAAACGAAAGTCTTCCGCATCTGTAGAAATCACACCTGCACGCGTATATTTGTTCAATTTCTTTCTCTTCAGTTCGATTGGAAGCTTGATGCCCTTCATGCCTGTATTTTTCAAACTCATTGGCTTCAGTTCACTAGAGAATGGGCTTTTGTTTGCTGTGAGGCCATTGATTTCGTTTTGGTGGGGACCTCTTGTGGCGTCATTTGTCACTAGCTCAAAGTTTAGACAGTTGATATTATTCACATGTGTTGCTGGAACAGTTGCCAGCACATTTTGCATATCAGTTGTAAGAACAAACGACGGAGGCAATCTTGAAGATATCGCTTGTCAACTAGAGACTGTTCGGACTCATTATGGCCGGAATCATCACAAAAGTGTCGTTACATCCAATTATTCGCAAACGATTCCAAGCAGCCTACCCAAAGCAGCAAAAGAAAGTGGTCCTACAAACAAAACTACTTTGTCTTCCTGGAAAACGTATATCACTAAAACAAGCAAGCAAATTTATCATCAACTTGAAAAGGGAATCGTGATGAAGAATTTGTTTTTTTCAGTCCTTGTGCTTACAATATTAAGTGAACTGTTTATGAGCCCAACTATGCATGTTTCTCAAGCATCAATCAAGTTCAAAAGTGACCAGCCCTTTTTTAACAGCCTTTGCATTAATCGTGCATTCTGTAGAATAGGCATGACAGTAGCAGCATTGTCAATTTCATTTGTGGCATGGAAGTACCGCTGCACTTTCCAGAATGTTCACTTCTTTTACTTTCATTTTTATGGCTTTCTTGCCACTGGATGTATCACAGCATTAATGTCAATAATTTTGCCATCTCAGAGCCACCACAAAACATCATTTGCTACAATGATATGTAACAGTTTTCTCACTGTTGTCTTCGACTGGAACAATTTTGGTTATATTTTCGGCTTGTGGATTGCAGGTATAGCAGAGGGCACCATTAATGCCTACATACTTTGGTATGCTTATGACATCGGTGCATCAGAGCTTGTAATTGGTATTCTTGTTGCCTTGGCTCTGTTTACAGACATGGTGTTCCACTTAACAGTTGGTTACTCCATGAAATGGATTGGTCACAATGGACTTTTGTCTGTTGGAATATTCTTGATGGCCATACAGTTTTTCATCCTCACATATGTAGGAAATATTCTGTACATTCTTCCTTCACAACTTTTGTGTGGAATAGCAAGCTGTTGTGTGCGAAGCTCGTTTATTGGCTGTGCAAAACGCAATGCAAACAAAGATATGGAGAAAATATTGTTCTTTGTTTTCCAGGCTTCATACATGGGGCTAGGCCTTGGTCTTGGGGGCATTTTTGTTGCAATCCCTTATTACACATTAGGAGCACAAAAGACTTTTAGTGCCCTCTCTGTGTTAACACTTTCATACACATGCTTGTACATCATTATAAAGATTGGCATGTGGATAAAAAGCCCAAGAAAAACAGACAAAATCGCTTACCAGAAGTTAAATACACGGGATAGAAGAAAAGGTGACTGGCTTTTGGATGCTCTGCAAGATGAAGAGGCAGAAGAAAAGACAAATACCAGTAAAGAAGGTACAGGAGAAGAGATATTTTTCATGGAAGAAGGAGTAGCTTCTAAGACTGAAGCCCAACTAGATAAAGTGGAGGAGCCTTCAACAATGTCCAACAATAACAAAACAGAGGAAGAATCACCTGATGATCATACTGTAACTTAATCATCATGTATCCTTGTACAAATTATAGAGAGGACCAGATGTATCATAGTTTTAGATCCAAAGAGCAATAGAAACCAGTTTGCTTTTTGTTATATGTAACTTTTTGGCAATATTTATATATGTAGTTTATTTACGTCAAAGGGAGGCAACAGAAGGATGAAACTTGTTTCATTATTTATAAGTGTCAATTAGAAGAAAGCAGTTTGCCCAATAGTTGATATTTTTACATTCATAAATTTTAGTCAGATAACATAGAGTTATGAGAAAAAGTTGGGGAAACATTTCTTTGTCTTTACTTCTGCACTTTTCAAGATCTTGAAGCCAATTTTTGCATTTTAGGAAGAAGAAACAACTTCACTTTTCTAGTGTGTTGAAATAAGAGCCTGCTTTTCCATTATATGATAACCCTGATTAAAAAACAAAGAGATTGTATCAGCCAGAATTGACAATATCTGGTCTCAGAACAGCCACATAGCTGCAGGGCGTGCACAGGGGGCTGCCCCCCCCAAATAGAAATTTTGACAGCAACTTGCCCCCTCTGGCTACACTTTTTCCAAATTATATTTTGAAAAGTTGGCATAATTATGTATAATTCTGTGAGCTTGATTTAGTCCAAATATATTTGTTTGTTATAAATCTGCTCTCTTGTTTTAAAGACTGCCCTGCCCCCCTCAGGAATGGTTCTTGCTCGAGTTTGCCCACCCTAGCTGTCATCTACAGCTACATGGTTGTCTCAGAATGTATTTTACGCTCTAGACTGTTTCAAGGACTTTGTTTCTAAGCCGCAATTATGTATAAAGCTCAATTGGAAAATTTGGAGCATTAGCTGCCATACCTAAAAGATGGAACAACGCCTTTTTGAAAAAATTGAAATTAAACAACTCAATTTGCAAATCTATATGTTACAGCTTTCAATAATGTCAAATTTTTTTGGAATTTGCTAATTCCCTTCAATTTCTTTGCAATTTTGGACAATCACCAAGGGACAGAGGCAGAGAAAATTGGCTGATTATATATACCTTTTTTTACCAAAATTAAATGTATCTATTACAGTAGCACCAAAATGTAGTTCAAAAAGCGCCAAATCTTCTTGCAAATGAGCTGAGGTTAATTATACTTAGTTCTTTAATGAAATTATTAATTTTCAATAACTATTTTCTTCTTTTTGTCAACATTTTAATTTAATACGATGGGTACCACAATGAGTGGTTTGCTCTTTGGAACAAGCAGTTTTGGTCCCATGCATTCAAGTTTGCACAGTATGACTGGTTTTGATATGATCTTGGGTGCACCAACAGTCCTCCATACTGGATCGCAATTTTAAAGACATTTAAAATCTGGCTTTTAAAATTATAAAAATACTTAAATTTGCATCTTTTACACTTTCTAGCAGTTAAAAGAAGTTAAATATCATAATGATCAACTTTCAAGACTAGGGGTAACATTTAAGAAGATAAACGTAGATATAGAAAATTAAGGGCTATTTATCCAGCAAATAGACCATTTACAACCACTGCAGAGAATACTTCAGATTGAAGGGGCTAAAAGTGGTTGCCTTTTGTGTGGTTTTAAACAGGGACGAAAATAAGTTGCTAATTTTGGAGGGGGAGGGGCGTGGAAGGATCAAAATTCCAACTTTAAGTGAGAAATTTTTGATGCGACCAGTAAATCTACTGTACCCACCAAATTGATATTTGTAAATAGCCCGAACACCATAGTTCTATTTTCTTTATAATTACCAAAACCTTACTCAACAAATAGCCTAAAACATAAAAGCCTAAATCTCTAAATTTTGATTACCATGAAACAAAAATTTAAACTTGCTGTAAGAAGTAAAGCAACATTCAAGCAAAACCAGTATTAGATATACTTAATGATTAGTAGTATTCTTTCAGATCAATTGATCAATTTTATCTAAATTGATCAATTGATCAATTGATGCAGATCTATGTATCTAAAATACATTTTTTCACGATATAGAAGCACCCAGAATTCGAGCCTTTTATTTTTGTTCTTGATCGAAGAAAACTACTAACACTTTTCAGAGGACCAAATGCCTTTTCGTTCTTTACAATTGAAATGATGATTTGAGAGCAAACTTGTGCATATGCCTGATTCGAAAGATGAAACACTCTTCTTTGATCAAATACTTCTACTGCAATTTTGCAATGTGTTCTTGCTTCACAGCAGTTTTGTCATAGGAATTTATGATAATGAGTCAAGGACGTTAACAAATAACAGGGGGAGTTTAGCATAAACTCCTTTTTTATAAGAAGCGTTAAGAATTTTTAGTACTGAAAGTTTCTTAATCTTTTATTGAATTAACTACTCGTAGTTTCTTAAAAATCTCCCACTCTAAAATTTTCTGATCAATGCGGGTATTATTATTCCAAACTGTAAAGTTTCAAGTTTCTTATCCGGAAATTCACCTTGCCTGTTCGTAATTTGATTCAACTCCCATCAGAAAGAAAGCAAACGGGGCAATTGTGCAATTTGGATCCAGTGGAGACGGGATTCACAATAGAAAACGATTAATGGATGAGTCAGATTCAGCCTGTGAATTTTGATGTTTAGAATTTTTAGATTTGAAATAAAAAAACTTCTTAAAATATAAAATTCATAAGTTTGGACTTAAGAAAAAAATTCCAAGTCAACCGTTAAGTTTTCCAACTGTAACTGGATTTTCCAAACTTTGGGGGGGCGTTACGCCCCCCACGCCCCTCTATTATTTACGTGCCTGGTTTTAAATACATTTTAGAGGGCTATCGGAAAGTGGGAGGTGTTCAAATCATCCGCAAGCTACCAGGATCTCCAATCGATGGGGGCAGGGGACCATGCCCAAACTTTTCACAAAATATTTTGCTACAGGTGTTATATTTTCCCTTTCCCCCACTCACTTTCCGGCCTGTGGTGGAACCCATGACTTATACTTTGTGATCACTTTGACGGGTTAAATTCTGCAAATAATGATTCCCATTTTTATGCAAATTATATGCGGCAGACTCCAGCAATCTCGTTTTGCGGATGGTAGCCTCGTATAAAATGGTTTCCATACCAACATGTCACAATTTTGATGGATATTCGATGCTTAGGCCAAATGTCTTAACTTTTAAAATCGCACATTCCAATTCTTTTCACAGTTTTAAGGGTAGTCTGTCAAATGGAAGAAAGGTACATGATATATTAAGGCCAGAATGACCGATTGGGCTAAGCTGAATCCAGTTTTTTATGAGCACGATGCAAAACTGGCTACAAATATCGCCGACAATTTTGATGTCAGTTTAATACATCCAGTGTATTATGGGTTTGAAGATGCCGAAGAAGAGGAAATAAACGAAAAAGATAAAAAATGTGAAGACAAGAATATAAACAAAGACGACGAAAGGCATCGATGTACGTAGCTATATGTGATTATAATTTAATATGACCCGATAAAGGTACATCAGATAGGAAAAACACGTTTTTTTACGAAAAGAAGTGTGAGAAGAAAAAAACGAAACTTTTTCATTGGGTTACACAATGATAAAATGATTGATCTATATAAAAGTAACTAGCACTGTTTTGATAAGGGTTTTGATAGTGGGCAGTAGTAGTGTAGGCAGGTTCTCACTCTCTTTCACAAAACAAGCTGTTTTGTTGTTCCAAACCACAGAAATCTTAGTCCACATCTATTGATTTGCTGATGTCGTGGAAAGGCAGCCACATTCACAGTTTTCAGTGGAAAGGCAGCCACATTCATTGCCAATTTTCACTGAAAGCCGCAAAATGCAACTTATCCTGAAGAGGCAATCAGCAGAAAACCCTTTGCCAAATACAAAGGCTGCATGTATAAATAGGGTCAGGGCCGTGAAGCCGCAAACCTATAATAGAATCCCCATAATGTGCTAAATTTTACAAACAAAAAATATAACTTAAGGTGTATAGTAATTTCAGATATTTATTTGCTTTGAAGGTTCTGCAAAAGAGTACTTGGAGAAGGAAATATTTCCAGTTTTGCTCCCAGCTCTAGACAAGATGCTTCGATCTGCAGTTGAGAATGATGCCTTGAAGGTAAAATCATATACTTTATGGTGTTTTTATTTATATTTTATGTGGCAAATTGTTTTTAGTTGGCCATCTCCATAGGCACAGGACATTTTAAAATGCAAGTAGTTGATACCTGACATTTTTCCATATTCATTTAAAGGCATTGAATAAATAGGCTTTCTCAATAGGGGGTCATTTGCGATTTGCATGATTGCTGTTGTTACATGTGATATCAACATCTATTTTTGAAAACTTGCTATGTGCAGAAGCTGTTTTGTTAATCAGTATGAGTGTGATTAGTGTCAGGCCAGCCAATTGCATTAAAACACAAAAAAATAGGAGTCAGCGTATGTGGGTATACCCTCTCTTTTTGTCACAATTCACTGCCTTTTATTGACTGACCTGCCTTTAAATGACTGCAATTTGGTCATATTGTCCCTTTTCAGTGGAAGAGAACAAAATTCAATGCATGTGATTACTTGACTGAATATCTCTACAAGTGAGTCTTATGCAGTTTTCAAACGTTATAAAAATAATTTGATTACAGTGTTGCACTTCCCACCTTGGTCTTGAAATGCAAGTCTTTTAATCAAATGAAGTGGAATGTGAATGTGAGATGTTAGAATCAGCTAAGGAACGCACAGATGACATTAACTTTTCTGTATTTAGAGGCATAATATCAGGGCTAACAATTTGTTATTATGATTTTGTTTCTTTTATGGATCCAAAATATGTAACACTGTATAAATTCAACTTTAGAAATACGATTAAAAATACAACTTCTCTTGGGTTATCTGTATTTGAACAATAAAAAGTGTGGAAGTTGAAAATATATCCTTAAAATCTACAACAAATTTCATGCTGGAGAAGGGCTAGTTGATTCCAATTATCAACATTGATTGGAGCTTGCCTTCAATTAAAAAGTTACACCTAGGAACAACTCCCTTTGTCATACATCTATGGCACTAAAAAACATGCAGGTTAATAAATACTCTATAAGTTTCTAATGCATCACATTTTACTTTTAGCAACAACCCAAGGCACACTGAAAGAGAGGAGACATCATTATGGAACATCCCATTTGTACAAAGAATTAATGCAGAAAAGTATGTCTTTTTAAAGTCTATGATTATCCTTTGAGACCAAACATTTAATTTTTAAAACCAATCTATTTTGCATATTATACAAGATTATGACTATTTCCTCAGTTGCAATAAATACCTGGGCAAACTTTTTAAAGGTTAAAACTGCATGTATAGAAATTCATGGAATTTGAAAATGCTCTATTATGCATTATGCTCTATTAAAATGAAAATGTAAAATATTGAAAAATACATACCTATATGTGAATCAAAATTCCCGAAATGTTAGCGACTGTTAATTCACCGGACTTTTTCCTTGATAATTAGATTTAATTTTGCATACAATTCTCATTATTTATTTTCTAATCACAGTCCAAGGCCCCCATTACCCTTATCATTGATACTTACTGACGAGGAAGCTGCCATCATTATTCAGTCCTTCTGGAGAGGATGTGTGGTGAGCCCAAATTTTTAAAGCTGATTTTAATGCTTGAAAGTAGATGTAGATTCTTCTTAAATGCCAATACAGAACAAATCAGACTGAAGTCGAATGGTTTTATATATTAAAATTATTCATGGTTACATAAATACCCCTTCCTTTCTAAATCACCATTTCTTTACTTAAAACTTTTGTAAATTTTAAGCCTCAGTTCCAGTTGAGTTATATATCAATTTATACAAGGGAGTGCTGCATAATTTTTCATTAGGTAACTATTTTTGAAACATATTAATAGGTGCGGATGGATGAGGAGGTGCAGGAGCTTCGAAAATATCAAAAAGAAATGCGCGAGGTAAGTCATTATGTATGCTAGTGAATCAGGAGTGAATCTTATGCATTTTAGCTGTAACACAGTTCAAGGGGTCAATGGAGATTAGAATTTTTAGTAGTTTTGTGTTGAAAACTTGTGTTTGCTATCTTATACCTGACAAAGTCTTGAAAAAATTTATGAAAGCTCATTTTTGTAAAGATGTAATTCCTTTCACAGAGAATACTGGGTGTATGATACTTTTCTAATAATCCAACCAGGTCTAATTTTTATGGTCCTTTTCGTACGATGATAGCTACCCATTGCTTTCAGACAATTTTAAATAAATCAAGCAATTTTTTTATGTTATTGACTCATTCTGATCTGCATTTAGGTATTTACCAATTAATATAATCCAATCCGATGTGACATTCTACCAGATTTTGTCTAGTAGGGTTGGCTGGGAAGTGTCAAACCCCCTGCCACTTCTACACCTCAGTATTCTTGATTCTAAAAAGCAGCTTTAAGGGAAGGGTATGTTTTCATCTGTTTTCACACTTTAGACTAAGCTATTCTTTCTCAGTGTCTTACTCTTTCAAGTTCACAATATTTTGTATATTCCCAATGTTGTCCCAAATCCTATCACTCTATCTTAGAAATGAATTTTAAGGAGGAAACAAGTCAATTTTCATAAAGGTGCTTTAGCAAATTTATGATTGGAACCTCAATATCAAAAAAGCATTGTACTATGAAAAAGAGGCAATATCTTAAAATCTGATCTTCATGTTACCCAAAGACAAAATTAAATTAATAAAATTTAATTTTTATTAATAATTTTTATAAAATTTAATTATTAATAATTTAATTAAACTTTGATAAAAAACATGGGGGGCAGCTCACTTATTAGACTTGATGTTGGTTATCCTGGCAAAACATAAGCATTAAACCCTTCTGTCCTCAAGTTCCACCTGTTATGAGAAATAGAAACAAGGTTTATTGACAGTGAGTGATTTTAATAGCAGTGTTCACACATAACACTGCTTAACTGAATGATTTTCTAGGTATTCTAAACAACATTATTACGCGTACTTTATTTCTTTTAACCCAGCAACATTTACAAACGCTTCTTATAGATTCGTTTAACTCAGTTTTAATTGTTAAATGTGATAAATTCTGCAAAATGTACTTGTTTCTATTTTATTTTTATATAGCAAGAGTATGATATTGTACTGAAAGTGGAAGACTTTTGGAAAAAACATCCAGTTGGGGACGAGAGTGACGAAACAGCTTCATAACAATTTATTTAAATGACTTGCGATACTTTTGTATGAAATTGCTAATAGCTTCTCTTTACTTTGAATTTTACCTTATTGAAGGATTTCAACTTTAAGCATCCTCTTCAACGCCCAGTTCATAAACTTCAGAATCGTCAATCATCGTTGGGAGACGTTCTCCATTCTCAACCAGTAAACAGTACATTTTCCGAAAAACATCAATTTTCTCACTGAAAAAGAAACGAAAAATTTACCAAGAAAAACGCTTAAAAACTGATTAAAAAAGGTTTTACACTTTTCACATCGTAGCCGACTTTGTTTCATTTGAACCTCGTGTACACACGATTTTACGGCATTTTTGGGAGGAAGATATATCGAAATATTCCACTGCTAAATGTTCATTAATACATAATGTAACAAGGTTTATGCTGCAGTAAATTTTGTAAAAAAAATTCAATATGATCGTGAAAACATGATGTCATTTCAACTTCCAAGATTATAGGACCAACCATTTAGAATATTGAATTTATGTTATTTGAAAGCCATGGTTTTAAGAAAAATGCGGGCCATATTGCCTTCAAATAGTCGAAATCTTGCTCTTAAGAATCTTCGGAATAATTATTAAGAGCAATAGGCAGTTATGAAAAATAGGTGAAAATAAAGCTTCAATGATGTTGAGAGTTAATTAAAAAGATTAAAAACTTTTCCTTCAGCATTTAATGTTGATTTATCGAGTATTTGCAGTTTTAACGAATTGATGTGTGTTGCAATGTAATGACTAGAACCGCAGATAGGAACGCCGTTAAGAGTTAACATTAAGTTTTGTGAGTTATCGACGACCGAACACAACGTTCTCCTACATAATGTGTATATTTGTAATCTTCTACAATGCAAAATCAACGTTAAAGCTTTGAATTTATATCGCTTCCTTTTTGTATGTTATAAAAACGTTTGGGCGGTAAACACTGAAAAATCACACCCCTAGGTGAGTTCAATTGCTTGGTAAAAAATTTACAGCAGTCAAACAGACTCGACAATTAACAAAACTTTGTTTTGAATTTTCTTTAAACCTCGCGTAGGATTATCAAAAGCAGAACCGGGTCGAACTTATTCTAAATATTTGTCTTTAAAAATTTAGGTGGAATTTTTAGGTGGAGTTGCCTGTCTGTAACTCTATACAAAACTGTGCCTCGTATAATCAAACCTCAACTTAATCACATCCTATGGTTTTCAAGCACATAGATCTTATTGAATCAATCCAGACAGGTTTTAGCCAGTCTCTACATATAATTTTTAATTTTTAAAATTTTTAAGAAAGGAACCCTGCTTCACATTAGTACAAATAAAGTTGGTCTTTTCTCGGTCTTTCTTCAGATTATATATACAATATAACCGTAAGCAAAAAAACAGTAGCTTCGTGGATAAATTTTATATTGTACTAAAAAGCATTACTTCAAAAAAAATATCCAAATTACAATATTTCTTTCGCCGTAGAAGATAAAATATGTATATTGTCAAAATTAAAGACAACTTACGATTTGGACAAAGTTTCTGAATGCAGCAGGTTTTCAGCCATCTTTTGCATGATTTGTTTTCCTTCAAGTTCCAATTTCAGTTCAAGATATTTCATCACAGAATCGCAGAGCTCTTGAATCTCCTTAAAAAGTAACCAGATTGTGAAATTCATGGATGATATAATAGTCTTCGGATTGAATGCCTAAGTTAAAATAAATACTACAGGCTTAAAAGGCTGTGTACTTGGGTAACTAACGCATAGATTGGAATGTTATTTGATGTTTGCATTAAGCGTGAAACTCGAAGCAGCTTCAGCTTACAAACTTTCTGTTCTACACATAAAGGCGTGTAAAGCGCTGTCTTAACAGCATCTAGCACTTTACGATTAGCTCTTTTCAAGGTACACCAGGCAGGGGGCTGCGAGGGGCAATTCACTATAGCAAATATCGTACGAGATTTTCCCTAAAACAAAAGGATTTCTAGGGATTTTCAGATAAAACAATAGGATTTTCACAAAAGGTGTACGAGATTTTCTAGGAGTGATTTGCCCCTTGGGGGGCTATAGCCCGCTCACTTTTTTGCCGAACCATGATATTCAGGTAGTGACATCAGAGATAAGGAGGGAAAAGCTACAATAAATCTTTGCCAATTTACCTAAAGCCCCCCACTCCAAAATGTGCTCCGGAATCCCTGTGTTCAAAATAACGTAATCTATTTGAACATGATGTCAGTATTTTATGTTTAGCCATTGCATTGTATGAAGAAAGCTGAGTTGAATTGAATCCAAGAGAGTTTTATTCAATTGAATTGAACTATAGGCTCTTCAGTATATTTTACCGGAACATTTTTTAGGTTCAGTATTCAATTTAAGTATGTAATGAGTGACTTTAGACTGCATGTATACATAGGATGAAAGCAAAATCAAATTATTTTTTTGAATGAGGTAAAACACGTTGATCATGATGACTGAATGTGAAAATTGTAAGTCGACTTAATTTAAGTTTTTATTGTTCGAAAAGCTAAAAAAACGTTTTTATTGTTTTTCAGAGGAGGTAAGGGGGTAAATTGCGCTAGGGCCTCGAGGTCTAGGGGGCCTCAAAAAGTAATAAATTCCATTTCAAGAATGGAATCAATGTAACGTGGCAAAAGTATACCTAAAAATAGAAAAACGTTTCAGATAATTGCAAAAAATGTTCTGAAATGCAATTTAGAGTAATCTTAAGGTAGTCGCAAACATTTTCTGCTCGTTCCGCCTCGTCTTCGAAACCTCTCGGCCGCCCTGCTTGCTATAGGATCAATGCAATCAGTTTCATCCCATTTCTTTAAAATCAAGGGGCAGGATTGGCTATGTTATTCCTGCTTTAGATTATTATATCACGGCTCTTTTTAGTGTATGTGTTTGCCTTGCTACTGTCAGCTGATAATTACCTTTACACTGCTAAATGTGCTGTTCCAATCCAGTAAGGCTAGTGCCTGTGACAAGGGCGAGTCTAAAAGAGTAATAAAAAAATAATCATTATGACGTCATTACTATAACAGGAATCATATTCAAAACATTTTTGAAACACCGAGGAAGTTGGTATTCTAGAAAGAAATTGGTAAAAAGAAAGTCGAAGATAACAATATGGCGTGGAATTATCTTCTTTGCCTAAAGCTAAGCTTTGTTGAGTACAGACAAGATTAAAAGACTTCGGCACTCCAGGTTGAGAAGGAAAGGTGCTCATGCCTCAACTGTCTCTTCTTAACTTACGCTTTTGGGTTTATTTAAGTATCTAAATAATTCAATTAAGCCACCCTAACCCTTCTATCGAGTTTTGATTAAGCCCCTTCCCGAACAAGCCTCCTCTTTATTTTCGTCAGATTTTAAAAGCCAGTTGATAACAACTTCGTCACAGCGATATTTGAATTAGAACAGGGGTCGGCAACCTTTATAAAACAGGGGGCCAAATTTGATTTTTGAAATGCATACGAGGGCCGCAACTCAAAATACAGTACAATTTTAATATATACCAATTCTACCTAACTGCTAATCTACTCAATAAAATTGTATTTATCAGTAAATGTACTGTAACGTGGAAGCTGTACGTAAATAGATGTAAATTACATGTTCACTGGTCAGTATATTACAAGAAGCTAATGCGCAAGTTGGTGTTGCATGTCCTTGGCCAGCTTCTCAAAATTTGGCAGAATTGTTGATATTGGCAGCCGCAAGTTGCCTTAAGGTGCTGATCAGTCATTCGAGATCGCAGTCGACTCTCCGCATGCTTCATCTTTCTGAAGAGACTTTGGCAAAGGTAAGTACTTCCAAACATGCAACACATCTTCTTGGCATGCTGCACCAGACCTGGATAAGAACCATCATCCACCATGGAGATTCTCCGTATAAAACTGGATGAGTTTCTTTGTATTTCTGTTTCAATTCACTGGTACCCTGCAGCTCGATCAACCCCATTTGAAGATGGAAAGTGAACCAAGTTCCCTTAATTCAGCTGAGTTTTCCAAAGGTGTTGCATAAGCAGGAACGTGACAACATGTTCATACATGACATTCACAAATTGACCATGGCCTTGAAGCTTCTTGTTCAGCTTGTTCGAGTGACTAGTAATGATAACGGGGAATGCTAATCTAGACAAGAATCTAGGATCACTGAATCCGAGCCGACACTCGTGCATTGGGCCAAATTATTTACAGGTTAACAAGGGCCTTCCGGGCCACACAAAAGTACCTTGCGGGCCGCATGTGGCCCGCGGGCCGCGGGTTGCCGACCCCTGAATTAGAAGATACAAATGCAGTTTCTTAGAGCTTATTCATCCAGCTTTCTAAGTCAAAAACTATACTGTTTTTAAAGATTTTCTTGATTGCAAATGAGCCGCCCATTTAGATTTAGCAATTTTCCATAAGCCTCTCTCTACGAATAACCTCCAACCCAACTGACAATTGGCTTTTCAATATGCCTCCCATTAGGGCCCAATCAAATTATTACGGAAAATGGAACAACAGTTCAAGCAAGAGCATAAGGCTCAAATCTTCATGCTTCCAAGCAAGGGGAATTTCCTTTGAGCGGCTATCTTCCTTTTGTGGATAAAATAATAAATGAAATAATAAATTATTTGTTCAAGGTTGGCGTAGTAGATAGCACAAGGCTAATCAATGCCAACCATAACTTATACAACAACATGAAAGTAAAGGTGGTTATATAAGAACTTTATTGAACAACGTTGCAAATTCAGTCGGGTGTGTCTTGCACTCTTCCAATGGCACGGGAAACTTCTTTTCGAGTTGTTTCGTTCCTTTCATTACTGCGAAGGATGGTAATTCTATCTTTAACAGTAAACTCCTACTCTTTAACAGAAGGAAATAAAACTCCAAGGCTACTTACTTCTTGTGATCCTTTCCAACGAACTGGTTGGCAATTGCAACACACTTGAAGTATCCGAGTACGTCTTGCTATCCTGGCATAGTCCTTTTACATCCATTATAAATTTTTCTTTAGCCAGCGTATTCTTTCTCGAATTTTTAGATTCTTCATTTACAAGTTTCTTCTTCAAATGTCGAAGTTTCATACATATATTGACAATTTCATTATTAACGACACCTTCCGTTTTATCATTAAGCAGTTTGATCTCTGTATCTGGTTGGGGATTATGTCCTTCGTCCTTTTCTCGTGTTGTCAGTTCAGTTTCTTTTTCACAACCTTGTTTCTTGACTGCCTGCACAGCTTTTCGCCTTTCTTCAGTCTTAAGTCTATCTTTTTCGTCATTCTTTACTCCTTTTTGCTCCAATTTGGGGACTTTCCTTGTGCTGGGTACTGTTTTCGGTCTACTTGTAACTCTAGGTGCAATTTTTTGAAAACGGGCAGCTCTGATCTCTTTGGAATGAGTTACTCCTGCTGAAACTGCTTTTCGTTCTCTGGCATCTGAAAATAAATATGTTAATCAACACAATATAACAGCAGATTAATAGATTAAACAATAGGTTAACTTTTGGCATTAAAAATGTCATAATAAGCAAGAAGGGGATATTGTGCAACAAAATGTTATCCCAAAGGCACTTCAAGCATAAAAAGTTATTGTTTTTGTACATTCAATTCTACTTTCGAAACTCCCTTCAAAATAGAAGTAGGGGAGTGATGAAAATCGAGGAGTATTGAGTAGAATGGCGGGTGATTTGGAGATTTGGGGTGATGGAAAGAATGACCAGTGGTGAACAAATAATGGTTGGTAGGGGTGACAAGTGGAGACAGAGCAAAGGAGTGAGGGGTTGATTAATGAGTTAGGAGAAGAGTGAGGGGAGAGTAGGTATGTTCAAATATGTCGGCAGATATATATTTCTGCATACTTGTTGTGATCAGTGATATTCGCACAACATGTAATAGGTAAATAAAAACTAAGCTCTTGCTCAGTATTGTAACAATTTTCAAATTAACCTTTGATGTTGTGGGAAAATTATTTAATGCAACCAAGATAAAATAAGAGTTATCTTATTTTGTCTTGATGCAACAAAACTACCTTTAAATCCAATCCTTTCACATTTTCCTTAAATTTAACGTTTTATAATTATTTCTACGGCGTCACGCCAAAATCAGCTGATGGAAGTCGAATTACGAATAATCAGTAAACAGGTCGATAAGCTTTTCAAAATAATACAGAAAATGCTTCTTTTGCAGAATGTTTTATACGTAAAAGGCGTAGGGTTAATATGCAGGTCGTTGGGTGTTTTCTGTAGCTTTGTACTCTGTGTTATATCTTGATATGGTTTATCACAATGGGTCTAAAAAGCCAGGGGCGTCGCCCAAGAGGAGGGTACGGGGTGCGGTCCCCCCAACATTTTGTTCGTTGGCACATTTGAGATTTTTGCCACCCAAAAGATGGAATTTTTGTACTCATATTAACATTTCTGTGAAGTTGAACTTTAAAAATTTGGCACTAGAATAAAAACTTTGAAACAGAAACGCATAAAAGAGGCATGTAAAAGTATTTATCTTTTGACCAAAACCTTGATGAGTGAGACACGCCCTCTTTTGTCGGCAAAATGACCTCTTCAGCCCTCCAAACAATTTTCCTGGCTTCGCCCCTGCAAAACGCATCTATAGCATTCGCGTACTTCATTTGCTGGATTCAAGTGATTCAATGCTAGAAAGGTCAGTTTGAATCTGCAATAGTTTAAGTCATCGGGAAACATTTCACCTAAATGCTCGCTAAACTATTAGGTAGATTGTTTACGTAAAGAATAAACAGCAAAGGGCCAAATTCACTGCCCTGTGGAATTCCACTAATCGTATCATTCCGTGATGATCTAGGCCTATTCTATCTACGCGTGCAGTTTTCACCCAGAAATGAAATCCGTGATCCAGCGTAGATCGTGTTCTGTAAAACCATATTCGTTAATCTTTGATATCAAGCATTTAAGAGGAACAGTGTGAAAAGCTTTTGCAAACTCGAAGTAAATCACATAAAGATAATACCCTTCGTCGAGCAGCGACGGCCTATTCCCAGGGATTCAAATAAATTACATCATACACGAACGTTGTTCACGAAACCCAGACACGTAGGTTTGTTTATTGGTTTAGTTAAGAGATCATAGCCACCCGAGCTCGGGATCACGATTTAGAGCTTCTGTACTTAATCTGGGATGTACTAGGTATTTTGCTTGTACAACGAGTCATCCTGGAAAATTCACAGGAATGGGAGGGAGATGGTGGTTGATCATGACATTAAAGGCATCCAATTGCATTCTCAGCCCTTAGCCCTTTGAAACAGTAGTGGTCCAAGCACTCACTGGTGTAGGTTGCCTTATAAGATTTTGAAAAAAGTAGAAATTCAAAGGGTTCTAAGAGTATGAAAGTTAATGCTACCACGAGGTTTTGCCGCTACGAGCAGGCAGTTTCCCACTCTTTCAAAGGCCCTCCCCATTCCCCAAATTCTGCGCTTTCATCCGTCCCTTGAGACAGTGGCACTTCTGATTTTAAAGACAATGTTCTGTTGGCAAATGTGAAATTAGCAAAAAATAACGCATCTGTATGTTAAAAACCGCAAGAAGAAACACAAAGCTTGTTAACTGAAACGACCGGAAAATAAATCAGGGTTACTGCCTATCACGTGAAACGGAGGGGGGATATCTGGCATCAATACCAAGGTCCTACAACAAAATCGTACAAACCACTAATGTTCGGCAACCTGTAACAAACATCATCAACTTTCATTAACAATTATGCAAAAATGCCTCATCAAAATCTAACTTTCAACATTATCATTATCGCCATTATTATCGATTCATTTATAGTATAATAGCGAAATTGTTGCTAATTATTTCATGTCATTAACACGACCTGCTGTTGACAGGATAAGAGCAATTTGTAACAGAAATCATTGTGTCGCGTTTACTCAATGTCATGTTTTGGATTAATGTCAAATGGTTTTGCTGCTTTATGATCAAGGATCGATGCCTGCCAATTGGGGCAATCAAATTTAACAAAATATAATTTCATTACTGAAAAATTTCTAACAAAATGTGCCTGTTAAAGACTACGGAAGATTGCAGCAGCAAAACTTGCACAATGGGATTAATATGACCATATGCCACCTTAATCATACCCCAGAATTCCAAGCACACACCTACAAGCGTAGCCAGAGCAAGAGTGGTAAAATTGGAACGGGGCAAGTTCAGGGGCGAAAACACCAAGGGTGTGGGGTTGTGTGACACCCCCAATCAAAAAAATGGTCGATTCCGCAAAGCAATCAAAGATTTCGCAAGGCACGAAGAAGAGCTTATTTGCCCCGCAGAAACGCCACCTTTAAGGGTCTTAAGGGGCTGTTTAGGAATCTTGAAATGGAGATGTTATATTTTCTATGAACTTCCCTTCCTGACATTGCATTTTAGCCATTGCATTTTAGGAAATAAAATCCTGCCAATCAAAAGAGCATCTTCCTCTGTCATTCACAACTATGTGCAATCTGAAAGGAAAGGTTACCGTTTCTTCCCTTCCCCAACGTCTATCATTAGAGTTTTAGCATGACATCGCCCCACCCTATTTTTCCAAATCAACAATAATCAATTTTTTAGTAGTATAGTTTTTTCCTAAATTTTAGCCTGGCAGATGCTTTTTAGCCCTTTTACAAGGAATAATTTCAACATTTTCTTCACATCGGGCCCAACCATAATGGGTCCTCCTACCTCACTAAACTTGATTCTTAGTCCCCCCCCCCCGGGCTAAACTTCGTCGCGCCGTCTACATCATGTACCAAAAAACATATGCCATGTGATACATGCTTTATTTCAAAGGAAAATTAAATTTGACATTTGATTTACGCTTACGTAGAGAAAAAGATATTTCATAGGCAATGAAGCTTCAAGTTTGTTTTTATTGCTTAGAAGTTTGTCCTTGGTAAAGACACAATGTACACTGGTAAAGCTTTCACTAGTAACCTATAGACAGACCTTTGCGACGAAGTCTGCAGGGCACCGCTCAGTTTTACAGGGCAGAAACCCTTTTCACCCCCCCCCAACCTACTGGCCAAGTTACGCCCCTGCGCAAGGTGAGGGTAGCATTTTAATTAAAGTCATTTTATTTCAATATTCGGGATCCTGTTAAAGCTGGACCGTTGGTAGTGAAAGGAGCACTACTCAAGTATGATGAGAAAAAATAAAGGATATGCAAAAATCAAATGAAGCAAATTGATTGTAAACTCCAGTGCAAATTTAGATCAAACAGATTTTCTCAAATTAAGCTCGTATCAAGGTGTTTATTATGTATTATCCGCTGATCAATGACTTCTTATTCGAGCAGGGAGTGGCTACGTGTTTCGTGTTCCTTCGTGATTAGGTTAAGGCGATTAATCATTCTTGTGTCTAACACAGTGACAATATCGAGCGTAGATTACTGCAAATGGGCCTTACATCAAAATAGGATGCTAATCGATGCTTTCATATCCTGTTTATGATGTTTACGTCCCTGCAAAACAGGTGATTACGTTCGTAAACAGTTGGCAATTGAAAAAAGTCTGGATTCTTGGAAGGGACTTCGCTTGCAGTTTTATCAGCGCGTGACATTATATGATCATCGGCACTTGACAATAGCTTCTTAGAGATTCTAGCTCCATCTTATGCTCCGTGATTTTGAGGCCCTCTTGCAGTGCATATACAAACATTATCAAGAATAATTTATTGCCTAAGGATTTTACAATGCACGACAGTGTGTCAATGAAAAAAAACTAAAAGGAGGATCGGGGAAGCTTATACCGAGTGATCATTGATTTAGTTGACGTTTCACTGTATTTTGACTCAAGTCAGTATTATGTAAACAAATAAATTATCGGTATATTTTTATAATAGAGGTCCCATATAGAAGAAAAGAACTTCGAAAACCGGTTACCTTTTCTTGAAACAAAAGTATTGATAATTAGTTTTGTATTTGCATACAGCAAAATTTTATAATTTCAGGAGGAAATATTTAGTTTTCAAACTAATGAAAATTACAGTTTTGCAAGACTGTCGATGACGCATAGGCTGTGCTGTAAAAACCTCTGTGTATAGGTTTGCAACTAAGAACCGTCCTGTTCTATACACCGAATGCATAGTTTTGAAACTATACTGTATGCTCGAACTGCACTGTGGGTGCTGCAACCTTCCATCGTCGTGGAAAAAAAATGATCGAGATAATGCTAGACTGTTTTGCTTTGTGACAGAGGTTTGGTTACTGATGCAAAATATTGTTGGTTAAGTTGTATCTTTCATTGGCTGGATCAGTTTGGATGAAGACAGATCAATTTGGAAATATAGCTGGAAACTCTTAAATAACATTACAAATATTTAAAGACTTATGCAGTGGCAGTTTTGGGGGGGGCCAAAGGGGGCAATAGCACCAGGCCCGCGCTTATGGTAGCCAGAAGGGGCTCCGCGCCTAAGAAAAAATTAAAA